CTATGTCTTTATAAGAAAATTCACGGAGACATGATATTCGGAATACTGAGTTTATGTATAGAATAGTATGAGAACGCTTTAAATCTTAATCAATAAGAGTGTTATAAAAAATAATAGTTCGAAAATAGCTCGAATAAAAGTAAAGATCTAGTATAATACTTCAGCTTCTCTTCTCTTCAAGGACTTCAGCATCGTCCTTTAACTCTGTTGAATTTGACATCCTCTTAGTTCTTATCTTCACCTGGAAGAGACATCCTCCAACTGGTGTGACATTACTGCGGGTGTGCCCCAGGGTGGCACAATTTTCTTACTTCAGTTTCAGACTAAAGTACTTCTTTCTCAATCCCTTCTCCTTAACCTTCTGGACTATGCTGATGTCTCTTTTCTCGACGCTACCGAAGAACTTTTGGATAAGTTAAAACGGTTGCAAAATCTATGTATCCGCTTCATATGTGGCTTGAAAAAGTTCGATCATGATTCGTTTTTTGGAGAAAACTGTCAAGATGTTCACAACCTTTCCTTACTCTATTCAACTCTATACAACCCCACTTTTCCTTTATACCTCCGGAAGCGCTTCGAGCATTTAGGCCCGTATTTTCAAAGAGGTGTTAAGTATCGGTTGAACTCTGATTGCCAGAAACTAGTGTTAAATGCAGATCAAAACTTAAGTATCGATCTTATTATAGAACACGTTTTAAGGTTTACTCAGTTGAAACTAGTTTCAAGTATTGATTTAAACTTGCGATCTGTTCCCTAATACCTTTCCACATGATTGATATTATTATTTCGTATTACGCAGCTGATTATTTAAAAAATAATTTTCTTTTACACATAATTTCTGTGAATTTGTATATAGTATACCATTGACTAGTGTAGTAATGTTAACATATTAACAAACTTTGTTAATATGTTAAGATTATCTCGTTTGTCAAAAATTAAGAATAATAAATATTAAAATAAAAAGGACTATAACGGAACTTTTAAGTTATTTATCAACACTTGTCATGTTGAAATGTCAAACAATGTTTTTATTTTTATATTTCTAAAATTTATATTACTAGAATGATATTATACTTTTAACATAATTATACCAAAAGGTTGTGGTGATTTTAATTTAAACAAGTATTGTGTGTGTAAAATGTGAATTTCAGTGAATTTAATATCAGTAAGGTAAATTAAAGCGAACTGATTATAGTACCCAAGTAAATCTTTCGTAAATAAAGTAAAGTAAATCGTAATTATTCAGAAACAAATCATCGTAAAACACATTCATTTCCCCTTAAATGCTTTAGAAATCAATGCTTGAGACTATTCTATTCTATTCTTTTTTTCTCTATGGCAAGCGATGCCGATATGTCAACAATTCTGCCAATGTCAGTCGTGCGCTGAAGTGTGTGTGATAAGAGAACGAACACTAATCAATTCTGTCAAAATTTTGAACTCGCAACGAGTTCGCATATGGAGTTGAACAAAAATTACGAATGCAACGCAATTCTACTTACGGATATAAATTATATATTATATATACAATTATATATATATATATATATATATAATTAATAATAAAATATATATAATAAAGTAGTGGTCGGGGAGAATGAGTTAAAAGGGAGGCAAAGTTTATAGGAAGAGGAATGTTCAATTTTATTAAATTTACTATACAGACTGGAAAGCTAGTTTTTAAGGTGCAACTTCAACAAGGTGCCACATTCACGCAAAGAGGAGTATCCTACACGATTTTTTTCTAAAAACATTGCAGAACAACAATGGCCCAAGCGAAGACGACAAATAACAGATATTACAGTTTTGCACTCTTTTTTTTGTTGGTTTTTGTGTTGTAGGCATTGGTCTAATATTTGGTTGTACTGCATAATAGTATTTGCCTTTCTTCTTGCTGGAGTCATTCAACTGGGATTGCCATAAAGACAACAGTATCTTTTTGCGTATGGCCAATAAGTCATAGCCTTGATTACAGTAGTGCTTAAGGTCTACAGATGGTGCTAAGAAAGCATTTTTAGCCAGCATATCTCATTGCCCCTTATGCCAGAGTGACTTGTGATCCACACTTACTGGACCGTTGTTTGTTTCATGAAACATTTAAAGAGTTGCTTCTTTATTTCTAAAAGAGGGGGTGGGTAGTCTGCTTTTGTAGGGGTTCTGTTCTAGGGCCTTGAGACAGCTCAAAGAATCGGTGAAAATTACAGCCTTATTAATGTTATGTGTCTGTATATATATACAAGCCTCTAGTAGTGCTACACACTCGCCTGTGAATACAGAGGGTTCCCTTGGGCATTTGAATTTTAAAATTATTTTAGAATTATGATAGTAAACAGCAGCACCAGTGACATCCTCCTGTGACAATTTTGAGACATCAGTGAAGAATCTCTGGAAATCATGGCATTTTATATTTGTCAAAGCATTAAAGGCTGCTCTAGAAGAATTTTAAATATTTGGTTTAAAACCTATTACCTAAAATTCATAGTTATACAAGGGAAGCCTATCGAAACTAATTGAAGGACACTCTAAGTTTTCAAAGGAGTGGAAAGCTTTTAAAATAAAAGGTATATCTTTATGCCTTCAATACTGAGTATTCGGCGTGAGTAAAAGGCGATCGGTATTTCTGCATACTAGAATTAATATAGTATATATATATATACTGCATAATAGAACAACTAGATTGCCTTCACAATACATTATCCCGATTAGTACTACAATAAATATATACAAGAAGTCACACATTTGGGCCCAATAATCACAAAAGCACTTAATATACGTAGACTTTCAAGACACACGTGCTATCCAAACACACGATAGCTTTACAGTCCCCCCTTGAAACTAGTTTCAACTTGTCTCACGTAAGGAAAGATCACAGCTGCCAAAATGTATACCTGAGTAAAGATTTCGATATAAACATCGATCGATCCACACCCACGGATTGGTTGGCATCTCGTTTTAAGTGACGTTTAAAAATAAAATCTCTACTTAAAATTAGTTTTAAGGCTAGATTCACGACTGAGACACCTTTTTATAATACGGACCTTACTTCCCAGGAATAACCTGTGTCGCTCCTCCTCTTCTTACTACTACTAGGCCTTACGAAATTACTTCAGTGTTGCGGCTGTGCCGCTATGGAATGCCTTGCCGCATGTAATACGTAATAGACCTTAGGCCTTCTCTGAGCGTGTTCAGGAAAAGAACCAGATCGCTCCCTTCAATTAGTTATAATTAGGCCCTTAGTATGTAGGTGTGTACATACATATTTACATATAAAATATACATTGCTTTAAAAGTGAATGTTGTTATTGTTTGAATTATATATCTACTTTTTTTCTAAGTACGTACCTAAGTACACATCATGATTCGCTGAAAGAAAACTTACGTTTGGGTTAAGGTCGCCTTTGTACATTAATTTCCTTGTCACTTATTTAATATTAATGTGTAGAATAAATTTAAAAAAAATCGAGGGCCTGGCCGGAACGAAGTTCCTTTCGAAGATAAATTATCGAGTAGACTCAGCTCAGCAGCATACGCAGTAAGCAAAATTCGAGACTAGACTGAAGTTGATACAGCACGACTTGTTTATTTCAGTTATTTTAGCATAGCATAGCATAATGGTATTCTACTGTGGGGGAATGCTGCCGACATTCAAACTATTTTTGTGCTACAGAAGAGAGCAATTCGAGCAATTTATAATTAATAGGCATATAATTTATAAGTAATAGGCATATAATTAAGGTTCATTGAGGTAGAAATTTAAAGAAATAAACATAATGACAGTGGCATGTCATTATATATAAATATGAAAATGTAATATATGTACATACAAACAAAGATTATGAGAAGTGATGTACATTCTATAAATACCAAATATAGGAATAAACTTGTAGTACCGGCCTCTAGGCTCCAAAAGATAAACAAGTCATTTCGAGGTCAATGTGTACGATTTTATAATAAAATTCTAAATAATATACAAGATTTAAATACAAACAAATATAAATCCGCAATAAATCGTAAATTATGATAGAAAAATTATGACTACTCAATTGTGGATTACATATAACATAAGAATTTTTGGGATTAATTTAGCACAGGCTATTTCAAGTGGAAATGTAGTGTGGGCTAGTGTATATTTTTTTTGTTTTCGTCACTTTCAGTTCTATTCTATCTTTTTTTTTTTTTTTTTTTTCTCTTCATTGCCTTTTTACCTTTTAGTCATTAATAACTGACCACATCAAAACAATGTTGTGGGATATTTAATGATGCCATTGTATATCTATACGTTAATTAAAAAAAGAGTAGCCGTGAGTTTGTTTGCCCTTTCTTTTCATAAGACTCAACCCCTTGGAAACGGGCGGTTGTAGTTTGGCCAGGCATACGGGTATGTAATAGATTTTCGATAGGTATAATTTTAATAAATTTATTTTGAAAAATATTTGACAAAACAGAGATTGTTGCTACTGAGTGTTTTGATCTATGACTTTAGAGTCTTCATACGTAGGTCACTATATTAATTTTAAGACAGGCAAAAGTAGACAATATATACTTACAATTTACATTATATTTTTTCTTCAAAATACTCTTCATCACTGTATACAAATTTTCATGCGCCTAAACCAGTCTTGGAAACACTTATTCTAGTCTACCACCGATAGCTCAAAAATGGCTGGTTCGTAGGCTACCACTGCAAACTACACTACTAACTAGCTTGTTAGCTGTGGTTGTGGAAAAATGCATGTAATTGTTTATTGTCGAAATTATATCACCAGACGAACATTCAAGAATATCTGTAGATTGATATAAAACTATATTTCTACTCTTAAACGATTCGTTACGTTTTAGGCAACATTAAAGAGATTTCACACTAAATAACTACACACTCACGTACTACTATAAACGTTTTTTGTGTCAGTGTTCAGTAATAACTGTCTTGTTCTAGGTGGAGGTGCATTGTACTGTAAACTGTTATGGGCGTACGGTGAGAACCAGGATACTCCAAAAAGATGACGGAAGGCGAGAGGCAGCAAAATGCAGGTGGCACCAACGCCGCCCCACAGCACAGAAAGGGTCACAGGTATGTAATAGTGAAAACTTGGATATTTCAATTTGTAATATTGGTTACATCATTAACGTGCACAAATTAATAAAGCTTCCACAATTAATTATACTTTGATTCTAAATGAAATGCCTTACTTAATTCATTTTTATTTATAACGCAGCCCACCAATAAATTTCATTTTTTTAATGGATTTAATATTACACCATGTAAACATAACATTCTGAAATATTAAATTATTAAAACATTTTCTGAACATCGCTAACGTGATTGTGGTTTATAACATTTATAAAATAATAACAGTTTAAAAGTAATGTATACCCAAATAAACATAATTTCAATAAAATTTCAAAATAACGAATATTGTAAACACAAATATATTATAACTTTATACATACCTTGCTGCATAAAGCAAACTGACAATTTCGAATAGAAGCATAATGTTGTTAACTTGTTATCAAAACTTTACGATTACCCGCGGCACCCGTGTGTAATATTACACGAACCATAGAAGTAACTTTTTGACACCTTCACTATATATGATATTTGAAAAACTTTCCAATTGATCGACATTATTAGGTAAAACTTAGCGCCTTGAAAAATTGTTAGAGAATAAACTTCTTGCTTCTTCGCAGGAGAATGAATTACATGATGAAACTACCTTTCATTTTATTGTTTTTATACCTACTGTAATACCTATCTATAATATCAATATCAATCTACAAAAAGGTCTGCGCCGACTGACACGATAAAAAACCCCATTCGAAGACTGTTTTTATTTATTTTTTGCCTCAGTATTGTTCCTCATTTCTTGTCAATGCAACCATAATGTGCCACAGCGGCGCTTGGCAGGGTACAGCTAGTTATTTATAAAACTTACTTATACATATTTGAAGTTATTTTTTATAAGAGCCCAGATCTGATTCCTGTTGTCGATAAACGTTTAATATATTTATTCGATACAAATATAAGGAAGGGTTTAGTCTTCCGGCACATAGGCAGGTACACATTATTTACTTAACTTATTGTAGATTTACCGACCTACATGGTTTTAGAGGCTATGGTGGTGCGTAATTAAGCAGGTGCAAAAAAAAACAGGAACAACTTATTACGTGTTTTGCGATATTATATTACTTAGAGTAGAGAGCTGTCGATGATGTCGATAATCACACCATTATAATCGTAATATTGAACTTGGTGCCCGTTTTCACATTTATGTTTTTATTAGCTACTAGCTGGCACGCGCGGCTTCGCCCGCTCGAACTTTGTACAAAACATAACAGTATAGATGGCGCCACCTATTCACCAAATATTGACTTATTAGGTTTTTTCCTAGAGATTGCCTTGCCTCTGTAAAAAGCCTGCCTGTAAAAAGTGTTGAACGGTTCATGTATAGCATTTTTATACTCATGATAACTTAGAAATTAAATGATCACAATTATCTCGATGATGAAATACTTTAATTTCAAAATTATTCATATAATCACACAAAAAAATGTATAGTGGTTATTTAATAATTTAAAAAATATAAAATCGCTGTTATATTTTTAAAATATATAGCTGTTATAGATAGATATACCCCCTCGCGAACTTTTTTGTAGATCTTTTTAGTCATACAATTCATTAGCACATTATTTCGTCTTATCTTTAACCACCATAAGCAGCGCACGCGAAGAAAGGAAATTTTTGAGACGGTTTTTTACACCTTGGTTAACATAACCTGTTTTTTTTTTGCAATTGTCTAAGTATTTTAGAAAAAAATATATTTTTTTAATAAAAATAGCCTCTGTTACGTCTTAATATAGCTTTCTCTTAGTGAAAAAATTGTTAAAATTGGTCCAGTAGTTTTGGAGTCTATTCGTTACAAACAAACAAAGAAGAACTTTCCTCTTTATAATGTTAGTATAGAAGTGCAAAATCGGCAGCTAACAATATTTGTCTTTGATTGGTCCAAAATTTACATTACCGAACTAATTTTAAATGGCAATTGCCATCGTCTATGTCAAATCATGATTGCTACGCTTTACTTAGCAAGTAAAGCGAACATTTATGGAAACCTTTTAGTCATTCTATATATTTACTCTACATCGGTATAGAAACAGAAATAAATTGTAAAAAATAGTACTCATATCTATGGCACTCGCTGATGTATGTTTGTTCATCTTTCAATATGATTATTTTGACCCACTTACTCTTCGTACCTACTACATATGATTCCGCTCGCCTTACCTTTTATCATTTTATAAATTTAACTTTAATGAGTCTTTGTTATTTGAACTTTTGTATCATATGTATTTTTGATAACACTGGATACGTACATGTTAATAATTCTTATTAAATTTCTTGAACTGACAATGAAATATAGTAACTATTAAAAATGTCTTGTCAGATATTAATTGCAAAAATAAAAAAATTACATGACAAAATATTCGTTAGCGTGTTACCTAGCATATATTTCTATACCGTAAACAGGGACAAAATTACTACTGTTTGTCTGCTATTTAATTTATTCGATGAGGTATGCAAAAACCTTTAGGACAATCGTCTCTCCATAATCAACTTTGGTCTGCAACTAACATCGGTCGCTAATTAAAATTATGACTGATAATGACTGACCATTCTATTGTCATAAATAAAAATTTGCCTCGATAACCGCCATTTACGCAGGCAGAGCCGCGGGCAAAAGCTAGTAAGTTTATAAATTTTACTAGAAATCGGATAACAGTTCCCGGGTTCAAAAGGTTTTTTCAGTACAATTCAGAATAGTTGCCATAAGGAATTACCAGCCTTTTTAGACAACGATCAATTCTTTGAGTTAGTAACTTCTTAAATATTATAATTAACGCAAAAAAAGTCATAGTTAGCGAGATGACATCAACAACATACATTGACCTGCGTCTATTCATAAAAATGCCTAGTTGTTGCAATGTTCTTATCTTTCTTTCCTTTATCAGAAAAATGCAAATCAAATTAAAGGATTACTTTAATTTAATTTGCATCACATCACAATACAATTTATTGATATACATCAATATTGAATACGATTATATATTTTTATTGCCCACGGCTTCGCTTGCGTGATTCTGACTTTGAAAACGACGAAGTTGTCAACCACAACAACCAATCATCCCTTGGGAATCAAATTTCCAAAAATCCTTTCATAATGGATGATTACAACATAAAAATCATCAGCTGCCAAAATTTCCAGTTTGTAACCCCAGCGGTTTAAGATAACGCTGCTACCAAAATTAACGAAGTTTCATATAAATTACCAACTGCCACTTTGCACCCTTAGGGGTGTAATTTAAAAAAAACTGTTCTTTGTGCACACCTACGTCACCTAAGGAACATTTGTGCTAAATTTCATGATTCTAGACCCAGCGGTTACAGCTGTGCGTTGATCGATCAATCTGTCAGTTTCTTCTTTTATAGATATAGAATTAGTTTCAACAACTTCATATGATAAATCACAAAGAGCAGGACGGTGTCTGATATCCTCATTAATTTTTTATTTCTACTAGACTAGATCATTTGATTTGAATAAAAAAAGATACTCTTCCGACAGAAACGTAAAGGAATAGTAACTTCAGTTATCACGTAGTTGAAATAATTTTGATTTGCCTTTCGCTTTAAATTCTACGAATGAAAACTAAATCTTTTAATAGCGATAATGTCATACGTATAAGTTTTTAAATAAATTAATACCATTTTCACTTTATACACACTTGAATTCAGTGTTCCTCTAATCAATATCAACACAAGTTGTTGTCTACTCGTATGTTGAGTGAATGCTATGAACACACCTAGAGTTTTGGAAATATGTAGTGTTTGCACCTCTGCTGTGCCATAGATCTGGTGGGCAGGAAGTTTACACTTATTTACTAATCACGACCCTCAATTTGCTTTGAGTGAGTTTAATTTACTTAAAGTTTTGACGGTTTTTAGCAATATCTGAAATCAATTTTAAGAGGAAACTAACAAATAAGGGTTAAACAACTTCCGAAAGATAAAACGGAGGTAATGAAACAATGCTATGCGGAAAATATTACTGCAAAATACTTATGAAATCGAGGTTACCAGATAGCCAGCTATCGAACATTGCACTTGATATGATTAATATTTCTCCTTAGACATAAAGCTAACTCTTTGACGAGTCACATCAAACAAATATCCTGAGACATTTTATGTAGCTAAAAAAGTTAAAAAATATTGCACAGAGATAAAAGTGCCCAAAATTTGGGAGTAAATTTGATTCTTAGATTTCTTATAAAAAACAATTGCTAATCATTTTTAAATTAAAGGTATTGGAGGTAAGGAGGCACAAGCTCGAAAAAACTGAAATCACACAAAGATTGTCTCAAGTTGTACTCAAACACGATTTCCTTCTGTACATTTCTTTGGTTTTCATACCTTTCTTTTTATACGTCACCGGTTATTAAGGTTCGCTAGAACAATCTCTTTGAATTAAACTTTTGCTCCTTTAAATGGTTAATTTGGTGGGCAACTAGGTGTAAACATTCCATTTAAACTTGCATGTAATGCGAGGTGCAAATGCTCCACTTAAGTTTACCGAGTCTAGTGAATTAAGTAGCTCCTCTTTGCGTCTTTACAAAGTTCCTTTTTTTTTTACTGACTCTCTCGGAGTTGTTGATAGTGAATTAGTTCCTAAAATCAAAATATGATGATATCCTTAATGCAGGTGAAATCGGAAATGTTCTGCTGACTGCAAATTATTCCATTTTAATTATATTAATACTCTAGTGATTATTTTATACCTTTAAACACTCGCATAAACAAATAATCATTTACGTGGTGCCAATCACTAGTAAAAAAATACAGCGTTCCGCTAGTAGCGGAAACGAGAAGAGGAAAGACCGCATTCTTGTTTAGGACTTGAACGTACTGTGCGTCCGCCGTTCGCTACCTCTTTTTGCCTAGGAGGATGGCAGTTTAATTTTAATAATGCACACTAACTCTGACTGAACCGTGCACTCGATCTATAGTTGCTATCCTGTTTTTATGATAAAACCTGTTTTTATGATTTTAAACATAAAACATCTTTAAAGCATTCTAGAAGTATTTATACAGAACGTTTTCAACTTTTTCAGAACTAAGAAATGTTTTTCAAGAATGTTATGCAAAAAGAACTGCTCTTACTAAAATATACTATAATCGATATGTAAACTAAATTCATTATCGCAATGTCTGTAAGGGATGGTTTTTACAGAAAAAAATTGCTTGGCTTTTATTTCCGGCTCCCATTAACCGAACTTACGTCATAACAGAGGTATACATAAACAGATACGTGCTGTATGGATTGAGGATTTCTGTTATCGGCTTGAAACTGTTCTAAAACATTACCTCATCCCGCCCTCGTCAGCTGTCCGAACGAGACAAACAATCCTACACTCCCTTTCGAAGATAACATCGTATCATACAGATAACGGCGGCCCATTTGTAACACCTGGCCCATATACACATCGCGGTCTGATATCACCCAGTATAGACAAAGCCTTAAGTTTAGTCATCTTAGTACCAATGTTTTGTTTGAGCACGCACCACGCTTGTCTTACCAAATATTCCGCTCAAGTATTAAAATAAACTGTATTTCCTTTCGATGTGTAATGTACATTACGGCCACTGTAGTTTCAATAACGCGACATTAGGAAGTTGTAGTATTTATCAGCTGTGAAGTAATTGTGATTAGTGCCACTATGACGGAACAACATCATTTATTAGATAGGCACAGGTTTGTAAGTGATTCAAAAACAAAATATTTGTATTTCTTACTGAGTGTTCAATTGTATTATTGCTTTGCTTGTATGTAAATAAACAATGCTTCCAATGAGGCAATTCTCACAATTATCTTTATACTTTCCATTATGAACTAACCTGTGAATATTTAGAAAACCTTTACATTCCCATTTTAACATAAAAACTTTGCATATACACACACTTTTTTCCTTTCGGATTAAGCAGATAAAACAATCCACTTCTTCTATCCCTTCTCGAACTTCCTTTACCGTCCTTAAACAATTTAGAGAGCCCACCAATGTCGAGTACTGCTGATCTATCATCGCTTCAGAGCGTCAACAATGGTGGTCTGTTTGGTCATGGTATGTTTTGCATGGCCGATCTCTACCGGCCATCCCACTAATGCACCTTTTAAACTTTACCTTTTTTATTTTTTTTCCGTGCGGAAATCCCCTCGGATACCACCTATCGGTGGCATGTCGGACTCGAACCGACTAAAACCGCACGCCGTCTCGGGTACTAATAGCCGGGGAACCAGGTATACCCGAGAAAGGACGTCCCTGGTGCCCCGACATACCTCGGGCCATCTACAACAAGTAGACGACCCCACCCGTATGGGAACCCCATGTTCCCTCTGCTCCTGCTGCCTGCTTCTGCTAGGGTGACAGATGGCCTCACCTGTCACCCCCAGACCTGCGCTTATGGAGGACGGAGGTCGTTTTGCGACCTCCGGCGCCTGAGTCGCCTGCGGTACTGGCCCGTTCCCGGGCCTGGCGGGCCGGGAGAGTTCTAAACCTGTCCCGGTCCCGCTCCGCCGTCTCCTTCGCGAGCATAACTTGCTCGCAGAAGGAGACGGCAGAGTTCCACGCACTCTCACTCCGCACGATAGCCGCAATCAGGCTATCGAGCGAGAGAACTCCCACTCCGATGGCCGCCACGAGGTCTCGCCTCTGCTCAACCCACGCCGGGCACTCTGCCAGCGTGCGGAGAGCCGTGTCCACGGTCTGGCCATCGCAGTGGTGGCACTCAGGCGTTGGCTCCTTGCGGATCAGACACAGGTGATCCCCGAAACATCCTTTCCCAGTGATCACCTGCGTCAGTCGGTATGAGAGGGTCCCGTGACGGTCCATAACGGGTCTTACGCGCGGGCCGCGATGACGGCGTGCCCGGCGCTCGGTTGCCCGAGTCGTTCCCTCCACTCCCCTATGATGACCTGGCGGAGTTGGGATTTCCGGTCATCGATTTCTCGAATCTCGGGACACCGACCCAACTCCCGCGCCTCCTTGCGCCACTGATACAGAGCCGCAAGGGCTGTCGCCTTCAGGTCCCACGGTGGAGTTCCGGCCAGCAGACTCGCCGCCTCAAAGGAGATCGTGCGGTACCCCCTTATGATCCTGATGGCCAGCACTCGCTGCGGTCGTCGCAGTATCGCGACGTTGCTGGCCTTCAGGGCCCCCGCCCATACTGGGCACCCGTAAAGGGCCATGGACCGCACAACCCCCGAGTAGAGTCTCCTGCAGGAGTCAGCGCGTCCCTTCATGTTGGGCAGCAGCCTCGCCAACGCACGCGCTGCCCCAACCAACTTGGGGACCAGACCTCGGAAATGATATCCGAAGTCCCATCGGTAAACTTTTTACGCTATATCAGTTTTAGTATTGTAAATAATACACGTATAAGAGTGCTATAGACAGCGTCATGAATTCTTATAACATTTTTATTACAACTATTTTTAATTTGAGAAAAGAAACAACCAAAACGTACCTACAGAGCATTTTTTGATACACTTCGTATGAAATAACTACTGTGTACGTACAAACTATGTCAATATCCTTTCATCATAAACATCATAATTATAAATATTTTGTATACAATATTAAACACGTGCCTGCATTTATATTTGTAATTTGTACCTCAATTACACTGTTTAGAAATTGCCGGAAGTTTCCAAAATAATATCAAACCTAGATGAAATTTGGTACGTGATATATTCAAACAGATAGCTAGCTAAATAGCTAACATGATATCGCATGGATGTCATTACAATTTTCTAATTACATAGAATTAGATCTGGAGAAGTTGAATTAACGTGTGTGTGTGTTTTCAAAATAAATATCTGTCTTCAACTGTCCAATTTATCCAAAACCGCCTTTATGTCCTTTTTCACTGCTGTATTAACTGACGTAAGATTTAGTTTTTTTCAACCTAGATACGGCAGAAGACAAAATAGAATTATATAGTCACAGAATCTAAAGATTTTAATTAAACTAGGTTTGGTTTTCCCACGCGTGAAACATCTTATTTTTAGACACAATTTCACAACTCCTGTACCCAGCTATTGAATTTGTCTCACGGCTATTTTACATGCATGATATGTTAATTTGAGGTTGCATGTGAAAAAAATGTATATTTTCGTTGTACGGTCTTACGATGAGAGCAAATATCTGATTGTTTTGCTCAGGAGGCAAGAATCAATGTACGCGATGACTGGGTTGTATGCAGAATCGAGTGGTGTAGATGGCGCCGGCGACGAGGCAGGCTCGAGTGCTCCGCCGCAACCATCGCACCCGCCAAGAGATTCAATAAAGTGCCACAGCCGGAATCCCTCGGCTGGAATATGCGACAGGTGAAATATTTTTTAACCTATGAATATACAGTTATTGACTGTCAAAATAACTGCTGCTAGTTACCACAACATTCTTGTCATATATTTATTTCTGTCCATCTATCAGCTGATTTTGTAGCCTAAACTTTGATGTATAATTTATGTAATTCCTACAACATATACGTAAAACGAGGAAAGAACTTATGTAAAAATAACTTTCTCTTATCCACAGAGATCGCGAAAGGGACAAGGAAAGAGAAAAACCTCGACAGATATATCCAGAAATATTAGACATTCCTCATGACGCAAGAGACTGCGGCATTCTATCATGGAGACCGCTATTTATTCAGAGATTTTCTAGTATTAAAGTAAGAAAAAAATTACCTAACAGTGAAATACTTCGATTATTTGTTAGCTTACTAATCAATATTTGTTTTTAGGTGTTTGTATTTTTCCTTTCGTTCCTCGTGACATTGCAGCAAGCTTTGAGCTCGGGCTATATAAATTCTGTGATCACAACAATCGAGAAGCGGTTCGAAATCCCTTCGAGTCTCTCAGGACTCATTGCGAGCAGCTATGAGATTGGTAACGTCATTACAGTGATTTTTGTATCATATCTCGGTAGCAGAAGACACATTCCAGTTTGGATCGCAGTCGGTAAGCAAATTTAAAGTCTTTCCTAGTAAATACAAACAATACACAAATAAGTCGAGTGTAGTATAGATACTAATAGATCACGATCATTATCTCAATTATACAAGAAAAAGATGGACTAAAAAAGACACGCCTTCATTCAAGTGGCAGTGAACACAAATCAGGAAAATGAAAATATTAACAAGAAAATTCAGCGTATTGTCTTGTTAATATTTTCATACAGTACCTAGAGCAGTTGTTGCATATTTTATCTTATTTAATATTTTCGAATAACTTATGTCTGCTATAAAATCCTCACTAAAATAGTTTTTGAATCTGTGTATAAATGACAAGTACCATCTTTTCTAGAAAGATTTAGTAAATTTTTTTCGTATATTATTGGAACATAAGAAAAAAATTGCTTTTTAATTGGACCTTATACTGGGACACTATCCCACGTGATACGAGAAATATATTTAAAAAACAAGAAAAGTAGATTGTATCTTATTATTTATTTGCCACGGCTCGGCGGGACGATAAACTTTTTAGCTTTCTGAACTTTTGCTACAAATGTATTAAGTACTGCAAATTTCACATATCTTCATGCTGGAAATGGGCTTAAATGAGCACATAGCACGTACTAATATCTACCAGTATAGATTATGGTTAAAATACATACCCATTTTTAAATAATTTAGCCAAATAGCCAATTGCACAAGTGCAATATATCCATTCTTATCTTAAATGTATCTGATTGAAGAACGTGATTTTTAAATGGAGCAGGATATAATGTTATACGCAGCGGCTTTGCGTTCTAGCCTTGACCTGATGGATGGAATCAATAATTTATGTCAGTCAGTAGTAACTACTTAGGCAAAAAATCATTACCAAACTCATTTTTAACGTGCCAAAACAATAGTTAACCTATTCCTATGTGTTATTATATAGAATATGGTAAACGTAAAAATATTTAGTGTCCTCTTTGCCGTTAAAAATTAATCAAAATATAAAGAATAAAATTCATGACATTGAACTTGTGCTTTTGTGCGCTTATGAGTTTTTTTAATAGTCTACTGCCATAGGACATAGGCCTCTCCTTAGAAAGGAGGTTTTGGCCTACTATACCCCGCTAGCCAGACGGGTTAGTGTAGGGTTTGTGTCAAGTTTTCCTTCTCTTTGCCTTTTTCCATACGTTACCAAGAGTACATATTCCAGAATTAAAGCACGGTTCGTTAGGAATAGACAAAATAACTTTTATACAATCATGGTCGTGGGCGAAAGCACATGTACAATTCTGCATTAATTTGTTATGCGCTAAACATACGAATTATTGTGCGTGCGATGCTTTGACATTTAATAAGTGTTCCCACAGGACGTCAAATTTTGGCTACGGTATTGATAGATAGTATTAATTGAGTCAATTTATCAGAGCAAAATGTTTACAATATGTATTTATTTTAGGTGCCGTAATAATGGGCATCGGATCATTAGTGTTCGTAGTTCCACATTTTATTGCGGAAGTGAACAGTGAAACGCTGATGAATAATAAGTCCGAAGAAAACATATGCCGGTTGCCGCACCCTTTAGCTCAGGACATGGCTTTGGGACAACTCTCGCCGGGTATACCACCAAGCAACTTGAGGCCAGATAATTGTATCAAGGTAAGACAACCCGAATACTAGAACTGCTGTGAGTAAAAATTCATTTTCTATCCTTCTATTGCTCCATTAGTCCTGTTTCCAGTCCTCGTGAGGTTACGCATATATGTACATAAAGACTAAAATTACCGCCACATTTTTATTTTTTACTATTTTTAATGCCAATACAAACATAGTGAATTGTTAGACAAAGGCATAGTTTTTACAAGACAAATTACTGTAGAACCTAGAACCCATTTTACTATTAGTAAAGAAAAAAATATTTGACTTGTCAACTATCAAAATACCATTAAAAAATAATGGCACCAATAGAATATGATCATACCAGGCTATTGCTATACTATATGTATATTGCTATACTATACTATATGTGTATGTTCACATCGCTATTCTGACTACTGATTACTGATATTTGTTTCCATTTGACAGAGTTCTCCAAGCACGTTTCTGCCAGTGATGGTATTCATTGTGGCTCAGCTGTTGCTTGGATGCGGCGGTTCGCCTCTCCTCACTCTGGGCACTACCTATGTGGATGACCACGTGCGTCCAGAATCTTCCAGCATGTATATTGGTAAGCAACTTAGAATTTTAAATAAGTAAATTACGTATCACAAAGGTATCATAACCTTAAGTTCTAATTATTCTAAGTGCCATTAAAATTATATTGATGTGATCCAATGCGGAGGGTCAGACAGGCTAAAGGCGTGGCGACGCGGCGCTACGTTACACGTCGCCACGCTATGCATATGTATCAGGGTATGCGGCGTGGCATACTCATTTTTACAAATAATTTCGATGTTTCACATCTGTCGGACAGGTTGCGACGCCTCCTTTATAACACAATGTTTTTTAGCTGTAAATACGTTTTTCGCTGGTGATTATGTAATAATTTAAAAGTCACCTATCAAAATTTGAATTATGGGCCTTCATGTTCCATAACTTTATCTCCTATATCTCTTTTTACTACCAAAGTATTCTGTTAACACGATGCCCACATGCATTAATACGTCCATTACACCTGCGACACAGTATTACATTACCATACAATAACAGTATTGTACACACAACAATTTAACCATAGCAAACTACAGAGGTCAAATTCTTTTTAAAACTCAATGTTTTGACAATAATATAGAAATAATATTTTCGGACACCTGACACACAACGCCATCTAGTTTTAAACTAAGCAAAGCTTGTACTATGAAATATAAATTGAATGATAGAATACTTATATACTTTGTAAAAACATACATACTACACATAGAAAACACTCAAATTAAACAAAATAAAATAGCCAGGTATGTCATAACTCATCATTTAACACATTTTTTTATAGAAAGAATAGATTTTTATATTTTGTAGTTTAACATCAAATATTTTTTAAGTATCGTAGTAACATATCGTGCACGCCTTACAATTTTTTTGTTTTGCATTTCTCAATTGTCATGCTTCAACTGTTAGAGCTATCCCTCACGTTATACTTTGACACCACAAGTCACTAAACTACATAAAAAGAAATCAGACTCGCTGTTTTTTCTCGCTGCGTACTGCTGTAAATTGAACACGTTTTATACTTAGACTGAACAGTCTGTTTATATTGTCAGATCTAGAAATACGAGCAGTCTAAATAAATAATGATTGAGTAAAAACACGTACATCGCTCTGTTTTATAGTTAGTTCACTTTGATATTTTGCACACAACAATATGAAATGAACACGAAATAACAAACACGAATTCAATTATTTGTTTTTCAAATTGTAATAACTACAGATCCCATGAGGTTTACGATACAAAAACGCTATATTTATATAAATATACAACATTTCGAATTTCCACTTTTTCACCAATTTCTATTTAGAAGTGTAAGTTCAGTTAATTGTGTACATGAAATTTGATGTACACAGTTGACCGATTATAGAATTTGTCTATTCACCTTCGGCAGATTATAGAATACTACAGATATTTATTTATTCTTTCACTGAATACGGTAATTTATAATAACGGGTATTTAACTAATCGTTATCTCCTGAAATGTGAAGTATTATTCTGACCTTTTCAATAGTAAATTTGTCACAAAGTATCTATAAATAAGTAAATCTAACGTTTAAGTTACTAACGACCACTAACGTCTAAAAATTCTATGAAACTGATTTTATAGGATAATAACTAGTCCAACACACGACAGTTAACCATAAATAGATGTCAAGGTAAACATACAATATGTCTTATTATTGTTATTACGAAACATAAAAGTTAATTACTTAACTTTGCAGTTATAAATAGGTAGTTAGACACGCACCATGAAATAAATAATTTATCTTAATAACTTTAAGCGAACAATTATTATGCGGTAGTGCGCGGGAAAGTTCTAGTGACCAAAAGCATTCCAGTGCTATATTTGCACGATTCATTTCGTATGTACACCTATATAACACCATTTACTGATAACTTAATCAATAGTTATCAACTTAGCCTTTTAAAAATCAACTGCGTTCGTAGGTACGTTATACATAGTCTCTGAATGACGCGTTGGGACAAACCTTGGTACTTACTATCGTGAGTCCTTGACCTGGTTAAGAGGTCCATCGATAAGCAAGCTTCCCATTCCAAAAAGCGTAATATTTATATGTATTTAGAATATATTTTAGTTAAAATAAATTATGTTTAATCTCAGATGTTACTCTACATTATACGATAATAAAATAGGTCAAATGCTAGATGGCTCCAACAGGCTTGATCTCTTAATTTTAAATATATTTTACATAAAACTCTAAATTGTGACAATTCAATGGTAGGACAGTTACCTTCTAAAAATATAATGTTATATATATATATTTGTTTACTAATGTTGGCGACGTCTTGACTGAAGTGTCTTAACAGCGAGGGGTTTTAATAAAGTACTTGCAATCTACTCAAAACGGGTCCTGGATTGAAGAGCCACTCCTGTGAGAAAAACTTTATGTTATCGATTACTGTAAATTTTGCTAAGAATATTCAAGTGTGTTTCATATTATTGTGAGTACTGTGATACGTTCTATTTTACATTCAAAAGTGTCATCCGTACCATGGTTCAAACATTTTTTTACGAAAGTTTATCGTATATGCGATCGCTGTAACATTCTATGTACAATGTGTGTAAATGAATACTTAAGTTAGGGAAGCGATCAAAACCAACACGTAACGTTTTCATTATTAAATGTGAGATAGAGTTACGTTATACGGTACTTAAATGTTTCTTTTTAGCAAAGATATTCAAGTTTTGGTACGCAAATTAAGAAATATTTCTTATGCAGAGCTATTTATACAGACTCAAAGTCATAGATTTTAATCGCGAAATCCGTACCATTTGCAGTAGTACCTAGGAGTGACCTAGTTTTTAGCCTCAAAATCTGTACTGTAATTTAATTTGTTTCATAAATATTCACCAATCGAAGCGAATACCAATTCATACTTGAACTGTATAAATTAGCGACACTATTGGTATAACTCTATACCAAAAGTTTATAGTCGTAACGCTACGTAGTGAACATCTATCAAATCACAAATCACGTGAACACTAAAACGAATCTCAGATAAATACAACACTTAAAGCCATGTGTCGTTCAACTTAAGAAAATACTGATTTATTATTGCGCTGTTCCACGTGGATTACGTAAACCGCAGTAATGTTGATACACTTTTGAATGGAATAAAAATCCCTTAATTTTAGAACATCTTTTAAAACAGATATTTTTTGTTTTATGTCATTTTTAAATTGCTTCATGGACTTGTTTTGTGATTACTAGATGTGGAAACGACTAAACATTAGACTCAAACAGCAAAAATGTGTAAGATTTGTATAGCTATTAGTGATGTGCCGGATCGTTAACAAAGTATATCCGCGGGATACGGATCCGAATACGGATATTTGGTGTCAAGATCCGCGGATACGGATACGGATCTTAAGTTTCTTACTCAATCGGAGCCCGTGACCTTGATAGTTGTCGCCACTTGCCGCTTTGCCGTTGATATTTAAATATTTCATTATTTTAATAAGCTAATACAAAGATGTTTGATTAATCTTATTAAAAAGATAGCTCTTTCAGTACCTAGGACCTGCCTAGTTGATTTAGTGTAGTACGATAAATGATTGCAATACAAAGGTGCCAAATATTTGTTTTAAGAAATAAAAAGTAATTTGAACAGAATTCGATAGTTTTTCACAGCTACCTAATAACCATTATTCAGGGTTATTTTAAATTTACTGAAAACCTCTGAAGTGCATATTAATAACATTAAACAACAACTTTTATTCTGGACTAATACCGAAAAAGAAAGAAAAAAAATTGTTTCTCCATACAAACTAACAACATTTGATTGGTCATTTGAATGTAGGACCAATTTTTTTTATTTTGACGTTGGCCAGAAAAAAAGTTGCTGTTTATAGTGTTACAAACACATACCTAAGAGTTTTACAGTGAATACAAAATCACCTATATAGTATTTCATCTATATAATATGTATTAAAAGATCCGCCAAAAAAGTCACGGATACGGATACGGTTACGGATCTCTCTTCTCCCTTGAATATCCGCGGATACGGATACGGATACGGATATCCGGCACATCACTAATAGCTATTTTTAGGTTAACTGACTTCTTCCAGCTGTAATGTGCGTCTCTGCCAAATACCAGATTTTTATTTTTACAAAAGACTTATAAGAAACCTTAATAAAGCCGTAAGAATTGATTTTGGGACTAGATCAGTCTTAAAAACCATTCTTACTTAACGTTTCCTACCCATAAACTATATCTTACAAAATGACAGGCCTTTAACACAAAAACATCCCTTAAACTTTCTTAATCCGGCCCTATCGCAAAACCCGTTCGTAGCTGATGTCTCTTAACATAACAAAATATTTTATTATTATTTATTTGATTCTTCCTCCACATACATTGCATAAGGCGGACACCATAGGTATTTTGTTCCAGTCGACCAGAGGTGATGCAGAGCTATGTGTGGCAGGTGTGTAATTGAAGCCAATGAGATAAATAACTAATTCATATAAATTACAAAATTATTCTACATAGATTTGCTAGGTATACATATACGTAATTTATACAAACGACAATAATTTTTTATATTCATTTTTAAAAAGTTTAAATTGTGTTATTTTTTGTTGTTAATAGGTTGCATGTACAGCATGGCAGCGTTTGGCCCAGTGTTAGGTTTCCTCCTCGGTGCTTACTTGCTGTCTTTTCACATGGACTCCTTCTCCAGTGCTAACATATCAATTGGTAAGTAACACTATAAATTCCATACACATATAATATATTATGTAAACAAAGACAAAGGCATGTTTTTTGTTAAAACATGAGTATATGCAGGAATGCAAGATGTGTAATAAATGAGGTTATAGACAGTCATGTTGTGGCGTACACACACACACATATATATATAAGCATCAAGTACAGTCATCCCTAAATTTTATAATTTTTACAAAAATACAACTGGTTACCAGTGAATACGTGTATTACTGCATAACTTACTACAAACTATAAGTAATTTTATGGTTTGATTATGTTTTAATTATTGTTAAACATTTTTGTGGTCGCTATGTTTTTATTTGTCATTTTCGTTATGTTTTTATGTGGTTTTTATAGACCACGTAAAAAACATAACGAAGTTTTATTCTAATAAGTGATTTTGTTGCTTGAAAATCGCCTCGCGAACTCCTCAAAAAATTACAGCAAATCAACCGCGATTGCTTTTAGGTTTTTAGTGCTCTTTGTAAGTACTGTTTGAAGTAGGTTCAACTTTTTTAAAGGGATTTTCTTGTTTAATTAAAGAGAAAATTATCCTTTAATTTTTTAAATTTTTGATTTAAGTGGTTTTGCCACACTTAGTTTATCTGTAACACATTGTCAATGCAGTGGTTTATTCTTATACAATTTAATATAGAATATTCGAAATTTTAAAATAAGACAACACATTTAAAAATAAACTTACAAAAACACAACTTAATAATTAAAAAAAAAATAGAATGGAGTTCTTACTGTGAGAATATGGTCGACGGAATTTTTTCCTTTATTTTATTTTATAATTATATTTTCATATTTCAGGTCCTGGCGACCACCGTTGGGTCGGTATGTGGTGGGGCGGTTTCCTGCTTTGTGGTTTCCTGCTTATTTTGGTCGCTATTCCTTTCTTCTCCTTCCCAAAAGTGTTAGTACGTGAAAAAGAGAAAATCAGGCTTGTAGAAAAGGCCGCAGCAGCTAACGGAGCTTCAACATCTAAACCTCCGCCAAAGCCACAGACCGACATAAAAGATACCGGATACGGAAAAGATATCAAAGGTAATAAGTATATCTTTTTTTAATTTCCAACTTCTGAAAGTTCAAAAATCAGTATGTAAAAAAATATAAGCAACTTTTAAAAACGTCATTAGTTTATCGATATTAGTAACAATACCATTGTTGATCAGTCGCTGTGAATATGCGTATTTTTATTAAACATCAAAAACATCTGAGTCGATTGGTAGTGAGAAAACTCACACTGCCGTGCGACTTTTTAAAGTAGGTTTTCTTTGTGTTAACTTACTGTAATATACATAATTATATGGAAATAAAAATGTCATCTAACATTAATCAGACTACTAGAAACACTATAAAGAACTGTTATGGGTAAACTAAGACCCGTTTTTCTGAATAGTACTAGTACTGAATAAACTCTGGCTATCCTGTATTCCAGATATACCGGTGTCGATGTGGCGCCTGCTAAAGAATCCTGTGTACGTAGTGACGTGTCTGGGTGCCTGCATGGAACTTATGATAGTGTCTGGCTTTGTGGTTTTCTTGCCCAAGTATTTGGAAACTCAGTTCAGTCTAGGCAAGAGTCAAGCCAGCATGTTTACAGGTGAGTACTCAGCATTCTTGCATAGTTGCATTGGATGAATGTAAAACTTTACATGGTCTATTTCATCTTTATTGTGATAGTATCATATTATCAGGATCGGATCTATAAACACATACATAAGAATGGCCTGTTGGTCTAGTGGTTAGGGACCTTGACTGCCAAGTCTTAGGTCGTGGGTTCGGTTCCCACCCAGGATAAATAATTGTGTGATGAGCATGATCATTTGTTCTGTGTCTGGGTGTAATTTATCTATAATATGTATGTATTTAGAAATATTAAAATATATTTATCAGCAGTCTAATTACCATAGCTTAGACTTAGCCTAGTTTGGGATCAGACTACCGCGTGTGGGATGTGTGAAGTTATTATTATTATTAGAGTAAAAATAATATTTAAATAAAGAAAACAAAAATATTAAAGGGGCAACTCATTATCTTTGTTATGGTAAAAGTGCGTGATTGACTAAATTGTAATTGTCCCTTATACCAGGTTCCATCGCGATCCCAGGCGCGTGCATTGGCATCTTCATGGGCGGGTGCCTGCTCAAGCGACTGGAGCTGCGGCCGAAAGGCGCCGTGCAGTTCGTGCTCATATCGAACACGATATGCTTGTCCTGTTACGCGCTGCTTTTCTTCCTCGGATGCGACAATATCAAAATGGCTGGCACTACTATACCGTACACAAATAACAGGTTCGTAAAAGTTCATTTTTTGAAAAAATATTAAAACGAAGCTCTTATTTTTCTATGCAAATCTACTGGTATTTTATTTCACATACATAAAGCAATAAAATAAGCTTATTAAATCCCACATAGAGTTATTCTATACCTAGTTTATACTTGGTTTGCACTTAGATGTTTTGTGAATCGAAAATCGTAGTCACTCTGCTCACACAATGAATTAATATTTAGGTAAGACTAAGTAGTCGTCGTTTCAATGGAGAAATTAAATTGTTCGATACCGTTAGATTGGTAAAGTGACATAACATATTGACAAAATTACATCCATTTTTCCATCATAGTTTAATTTAAAGTTGCAAAAAAATACTTTGTATTTCTTTCAAGTTGTGTGAAAAAAAGTTGAAAAAAAGTGTCAGTGTTTAAAAACCGTTAGTGTCAAAGTATTATTGTCAATATAGCACATGCCGCCAAAATACGAAGGTACAAGTGAATTTATTTTCTGGTTTTCTATTTTTGTGTTGCATTTCCGGACTTCGAGTGATTAGTATTTTTTCAACGACTTAGACTGCGCTACTAATTGACTAAGTTAACTGTACAGACTTTGCTGCATTATGCTAAAAATAATTCGCAAACATAACCTACCATAGATCCTAGGTCATATTTCTTGATTATTCATCAATGAAAAGGAAACTGGTCGTCTAAAGTTCATTTTTTTACCTGGCACTAGTTTGGAACTTGTAACAATTCATCATGATTTGAGCCCAACGATGTATGAGAGATGGGCATTCTCCTTTGATGGAATCTAACTAGCTGCAACGGATTGATCCCAATTATCAATATAATTCACACATATTCTTCTGTATTAATTATTTCTTCTGATGATACTTCTATAAGAAACATAGTATATAACAATTTTCTATAAATCTAGAAGAAATTTAAATTGACAACTAGAGGAGAAATAAATTTTTGTAAAATATTTTCGTTAACTCAGTCAATGATTCTAATTGTGCTTTTTTCGTTGACGCTACAGCAATCTGGAACCATTTAAAGTGAATCTAACAGCGGCGTGCAATTTCAATTGTCTGTGCACGGAGACCGACATGGAGCCAGTGTGTGGGAACAATGGGCTGACGTACTTCTCGCCGTGCCACGCCGGCTGCGCCGCCTTCTCCTCCAGCTCCAACTTCACTAACTGCGCTTGTATGTACCATGCTTAATAGATCAAAAACTGTTTTACTAAACAAAAGACAATTTGATCTTTGTACGTAAACGAGACATAGCTTTGGTGCAAATCGTTAATTGAGATTTAGTCTACTTAAGAGAGATGATTTTCACATCACAGTCCACGGCCTCTAGTTAAACTCGAACTTAGTTCTCGGAAAGTTGTCTGCACGATAGTGTTCACTTGTAAAGACAGAAACATGAACAAAATAAAGAATAATCATCATATGCAAACGTTTCACATACAACAATGAATCACGATATGTTTAATAAACACGAAACAGGCGATTTTAAATGTGTAATTCGTTCAAACAGGCGTGCACGAGAACAGTCGCGAGAGCATGACGTCCGCGGTCGTGAGCGGCGCCTCGGTGGCGGCGCTGCGCGGGGCGGGGGCGGGGGTGGGGGTAGGTGCGGGGGGCGGGGCGGCGCGCGAGTACAGCGAGGTCACCGTGGTGCCCGTGGCCACGGCCGGCGCCTGCAACCCGCCCTGCACCACCATCTTCCCCTTCCTCGTGCTGCTGTTCTTCATGACCTTCGTGGTGGCCGTCACGCAGATGCCGCTGCTCATGATCGTGCTGAGGTGAGCCCTCGCGCGACACCATATAGCGTCGACCGGGCGGCGTGTGTTTACTTATAAACGTTCAAAAAGTTTCGCATCCGAATATACGAAACTCCAGTCGATACCTCATTCATACTTGAAAATGTAATTTATATTGATTGATTTTAAATAGTGTCGTTTACATAAAATATCTTTTGCCGTTTACAGATCAGTGAGTGAAGAAGAACGTTCGTTCGCACTCGGTATGCAATTCGTGATATTCCGTTTGTTTGGATACATCCCGGCTCCCATCCTGTTCGGCAACCTCATCGATTCGACGTGCTTGCTATGGAAACAATCTTGTAGCGGAGAAAAGGGAGGCAGATGTTTACTTTACGATATTGAACAGTTTAGATATAGGTAAGTCAGTATATGAGCTACCTACCGTAGCTTCAAAAGCTCAGATGTCAAGTAAGTTGCCTGGCATCTTGCACACAAATATAATCCTACATCAGCAGCAACTGAACAACGTAAAAAATTAGTTTTTTTTAAATGTATTTGTTTTAAGGATAGCTACCTAGTTACTTACTAATAGTTATTACTACTAATTAATAACCAGAAAAAAAATCCTTATATAATAGTCGATTTTTAATGGACAACCATAATTTGTATGGTTTTCCATTAAAAATCGACAACTTATTCAAACATTGGCAACTTTAAGGCGTATCGCCCACTGGTAAATAAACCATGCACAAGTGAAAAGATTTATCGATATACTTTTGCCCGTCACTATTATTTTGTGGGAAACAAGGAATTTATTGCTTGACGTTGAGAGCACAGTTTTTCCTTATGGACGTGACGGTTAAAGGTTTAATTTATTTACATGCACATTTGGTGCATTGGCACACTTATTGCCTAAGGCATTCTCTAACAATCAACCATTGGATGTTGCAGAGAAAACAGAAAATAGTTAATTTTAGAGATGTGTTAGTTAGCTTAGTTCACATGTAATCATTATCATAAATAAATTTTGTTTTCGGTAGATATGTCGGTCTATGCGGGGGTATAAAGATCGTGGCGCTGGGCATATTCCTGGCCGACTGGTGGCTCGTCCGCCGCCGCAGGCACCTGGAGACGTCGCCGCCTCTCGATCCGCACAAGGACATCGCTGGCTCCATCATCAGTCTCGATAAATGTAACCCTTCTCTCTTACCATTGTACCTTTACTTCTCATCGGTTAATTAAAATGTTAGAATTCTAAGAAATTTCGTTTTGTAGTAATCTATCCAATGCTAAAAGAAGAGATTAGAAAATATTTTCAATGCATTTACTTGTAAATGCAGTCTTAATAATACTAATCAATGGACTTGTAATGTTAATTACCGATATATAAACTTTACTTTTATAGTGTTCGAGGAACTTCCATCTGCGGACAACGCAAGCGGGTTTCGTTCACGGATCATGTCCGGCGTGAGCTCTGCGACCACCACGCCTATGGAGCCGATGGCCGTGACCACCGAAATGTCACACGACCCGCACAGACCCAACTTACAGCGAACGGAGTCGCAGTACTCGCAGGACTCTCAGACTAGGACCGCGACCAAAAATTCGCGAGTGCTAGTCGCGTCTAGACACCTTCGCAACGACTCCAAGACCATTCAGCTCGAGCCCCGCGCTCGCCAGCACTCGTTCGACGAGCCGGAGCGCGGCCGGCCCGTGCGAAGCGAATCTCGCGAGTCGCGGGAGTCGCGCCGCGAGTTCCCGCGCTCCGCGTCCCGGGACATGGCGCAACACTCGCGCTCCGGCTCGCGGGACTTCCGCGTGCACTCGCGCTCCGACAGCCGCGAGCTCAGCCTCGAGCAGCTCAAGCACCTGGCGCTGAAGAGCGTGGAGAGCCTGGACCTGACCGTGCTGCCGCTGGCGCGCTGCGCGGACGACGAGAGCAAGCGCCTCATCGAGTCGGGCGCGCTGCGTCACCGCCGCACGGGCTCGCGCGACTGCAAGGCGCCCGAGCGGCCCGCCTCGCGCCACAAGCGCACGTCCAGCCACCACCTCACGCTGGAGCCGCCCGAGCTCAGCCTGCCCGTGCACAAGGGCCGCAGCGTGGACCAGCTGGCCCACGCGCGCCTCGACCCCGCCGTCTGAATCTCACCGAGCCGTCGTAGCACTTCTGTTATCGCTCCGTGCGAGTGTAGTAAAAGAGAGTAAGTTTAACTCCGACTAGACTTATTCTTAGCCTAGTGACTAGAGAAATGAGTGATTCGAAATCATATCTTACCTGTAGTACTGACGCTTTCCTAAAATTATCAATGATAAACGAGTCTCTCGTGCGGCCCGCTAGTTTCCAGCGCGGCCCTTATGAGCTGCCGGACGGACGTTTAGCATCAATTTATGTTCGATATGAATCGATTAGTGTGATAACTGACTGTTGTTTTGACGTTAAAATACTCGCATCACTTCTATTTTTAGAACTAATTTAATTGTAATTAGTTAAATTTAAAACTGCAATATTTGTACTAGTTTAGTTTAAAAAATGCTTAGAAGACAAACAAAACTCTAAAATATAAAAAAATACATATTTTGTACTTAAATGGTTAAACATTGATTGCAGACCTTCAATGATCTTTTGTGTTTTATCTGTATATTTTTACATAGCTGTGGGAAAAATGTCTAAAGTACACTATATAGAAGCGGGATTTTTTAAATAAATTAATATACAGATTGCAGGAATTTAAGAAATATTACAATCATAAATAATTGTCGGCAGAATTATTAATGTTTAAATGTAATCCTTGCAAGCACACCTCATATTTGCACAAAACCGTTTTCCTTAAATGGTGCTCGTAATGCTGCCTGTGTCTACATCACTACAGTTTTATTTTAAATAATGTTGTAAACATTCCTCTTACTGTAGTAAGATGTAACTGTATAAACTCAATAATACCAGCACAAAACACGAAAATTCCTGTAGAGAACATGTTGTGTACACCTTTGTAAGAAACATTTATTATGATCTCAAATAATAGTAAACGGATGCCTTGAGAGTGGAATGTAAGTATATAATGGAAAACACAAACATTACATCTTTATTCTTTTTTACTTATTTATTTTTATTAGTTTTACTGTCATTGGATCCTACTTTACAAAGTTAACGTTTTTAGTGCAATTAATAGTTCTATATACGCCACTAAAGGTCCAAAAATTTACTAAATGTATAATCCTGCATTATTTTATAATTTTTATAATTGTATATTTTGGATCATCAATGTTTAGCTTATATAATTTAGTATAAAATGTATTTGTAACAACTTATTAGTAGGGTTATAAATTGTAACTTTAAAACACTGTTGGTCATTCTCTTAAATGATTTCATAAGAATCTTAAAATTTTAACCTTATTTAGATAAAGCACTATTTTTGAGGTGTAAAATTATTGTCAATTCTTGGGCGCTGGATAAGAACTCAATTATAAATTGTCATTTAAATATAAAAACGAACATTATATTTTAAAGCAAGTTATATAATGTCATACGAGGTAAAAGACAGGAATGTTGTCTGTGTAATTTGTGTGACATACCTATATGATAAGAGAGGTTAATAGTTTGATATGAAAGAGAGTGTTTTATCGAAAAATGCCTTATAACTACAATAGATTGTAAGACTTGATATTGATACTGACTTAGATGTATTCAGTAAGTTGTTATGTCAATCACCCAGACAAGTTTGATAATAGCAACTCTTAAACTAATTTGTTGCATTTAGTGATAAATAAAATTGCATACTTATTTTATAAATTTATTTTATTTTTGTCAATCCTCATAACATTATGTTTAGATTAGAAGACGATCCGAATGAACATTTCTTCTTGTATTTAAAGCGCTACTTTAGTCTTGCTAGCTTGCTCACAATAGTCACCTAGAAATATTTCAAAGTTTTATTATATTTAAATACTTAGTTTTGAATACATTCATGTATGGCTATCATATACATCATAGTCACAGCTACAGATACCAACAAGTTACAATTCATGACAGAAAAACTCAAAATCATAGGATAAGAAGACCAGATATTTGTTCTCACTTTAGTGACCTGAGACTCGAACAAAGGGATAGTAGAGTGTAACGGGGCTCCATCAACTTCTATAAACACAATTACCCTCCCTATTAGTACAAGGTAAACATTCAGAAGGGGATTTTAAAATTATCAATTCATTTAAAGCAGGTAAATCATAGTTTAGCAGATTAAGGTTCGGACTAGACAGTTAGTAGACAGACTAGACAGTCCCAGTGGGTGGCATTGCCTCCTCCGGTGGCCAATGGGACATTTTCTAAAAAAAATATCTCATTCGTCACCCCGGCTGGCAACTGGGATGAGTTTAATCCTAGTCGCCACCCCCAGGATATTGCCTCCTCCGGTAACGAATGGGATATTTTCTAAATAAAAATATCCCATTCGCCATTCAATTTCAATCATCCAATACCCATTTCGCATATCCCCGGGTGGCCACGGGGTGTTGCTTAAGAAAAATATCAGTTGTCACACCCAAACAAGCCTAACCTTGTATTTGGAATGACAAAGATAGTTTTTGAAGTAGGCATGATAAGAATTTTAATATGAACTCTGAATAAAATAGATAAGTATTTAGGTTTAATGGTCATAATTACTAGATAAAAAGAAAAACCATCACTTTATACAATTTTTATTTTCAAAATCAAATCAAATTTTAGATCAGATCAGAATCAATCAGTTAAAAGTAGGGGTGGCAACTGAGATTTTTCTAAGCAACACCACTAGTTGCCACCGGCCGGGGTGGCGAATGTGATATTTTTTAACCGACTTCAAAAAAAGGAGGAGGTTCTCAATTCGACTGTATTTTTTTTTTTTATGTTTATTAGCTCAGAACTTATGACTAGGTGAACCGATTTTGATGATTCTTTTTTTATTTGAAAGCTGGTGCTTCCCGTGAGGTCCCATTTCAATTTGGTTTAGTTCTGATAATGGCATCCATGAGAAAACCATATGTCTTAAATTTGCATTTAGTATGTTTGCGACAAATAGACGAATAACTCAATTTCACGCAAACCGATTTCGATAATTCTTTTTTTATTGGAATGGATGTACTTTAAGGGTACTTTGATGAGAGTTTGGTTAGATTCTGATGATGGGATCCACGACAAAGTAACGGAACTCTTCAATTCTTAGGAGCAAATTAACGATACTCGGCTGAATCTTTTATGGGCTATCTGGATATTTGAGTCACCTACAGTAACGTCGTTATGGTCAAGTAATTGTCGTCATCAAGAGCCTTTAATAAGCTACTGCTGGACATAGGCCTCTCCTTAGAAAAGAGGTTTTGGCCTACTATACCACGCTGGCCAGACGCGTTGGTATAGGGTTTATTTCAAGTTTTCCTTCTCTTTGCAGTGTTGCCCTGCGTAGTTTGCTCCCTCACTAGACTCTTACGACACCCATGTGATTAAAAGGGGTGGTGACATTCTATACAGAATGTCACCACCCCTTTTAATCACATGGGTATACAAGAGAGGCAATATACCCTGTGATGACGGATTAAGAATACTCTTAATCCGTCATCACAGGGTATATTGCCTCTGTTGAGATAGGCGTTTCTTCCTGACTCCCTGTTTCATTCAAACGGCGCTGTCTCATTTGAGCAGCACGTTTATTAGGTCTACCCATATTCAGACAAATCAGTAAGTGTACTTCAGATTCACTAAAAAGCAAAAAATAAACAAAAATTTTTAACAAAAAAAAACCGACTTCTAAAAACACTATTCCAAAACAAATTAATATGCACTAAAAAGGAAAAAAATAAATGCATATTCTTCTACAACTTAATAATCAACTTACTTTTTAACACGCTTTTATTAGCTTCACCTGTATGTTTGTTTGTTTGTTTGTATGTAACCGACTCCTTTGGGCGTAATTTTGACTGACTTTAAACGGTCAGAATTCGTTTAAACTTTGTAGATATATCGAGGACCGATGACAACACACTAATATAAAAAAAAAATGAAAAAAATTATAGTTTAAAAAAAAAAATTATAGTTTTAAAAAACTAAAAAACACGCTAAAAAATAGAAAATAAATTTGAAAAAAAGCGTTGGGTGCCTGTTGTCAATAGTAAAAAGCACCCAACGCTTTTTTTCAAATTTATTTTCTATTTTTTAGCGTGTTTTTTAGTTTTTTAAAACTATAATTTTTTCTACTCATCTATATGTAGGTACGATCTATGTGTTAACCGCGCAAGAAGGTAGGTAGGTACCTACCCATTTCAAATCTAATTTAACATATACCTGTGAATAACAAACAACGATCAAAATATTTATTTGAGTTCTCCTAAGTAAAATAAAATGAATATAATGTAGTTACAATTATTGTTATTTTTGGAGTCGGTGTCAGCCAAGGAAACACTACGATATACCTAGCAATAATAATACGAGAATACTTTAAGACTCGTCAACTCGCGCGTGCGACACAAGCACTTCTCACTTATAAGGTGTAGGTGACACCGGCTTTATTTTTTCCTTTTTAGTGCATATTAATTTGTTTTGGAATAGTGCTTTTTGAAGTCGGTTTTTTTTTGTTAAAAATTTTTGTTTATTTGAAAATATCTAATTTAATTGCGACGACGAAACGATACTAAGTGGATAGAGTTAATTTCTACCATGCAATAATTGAAACAGTCGGCCCGACGTTTCTTCGACTTTTTTTGTAATATGTAAAAGATAAAAATGTTTACTGTGGTTTATCCTTAGGAGACAGACATATACCATGCTGACTTTTTTATAGATCTTTTTAGATATCATATATCCATAGTAAGAACATCATTTTGATCTATCACACAAAAACCGCATTAAAATTCGTTGCGTAGTCCGAAAGATCGACCGTTGCGTAGTCCTAGTCGACGATGACCAGCTGGTGCGCCTCTACGGCGGCAAAGCCAGCAAGTCGAGCCACCAGCCGAGTCGACCAACGAGCCATCGTTGCTCGTCGAGCGGCCTCACGCCACTCGCGTACCTCAACCCGCGGAACTCAGCCGTCTGCCGATATGCTTCGGCGAGCACATTCACCTCCAAATCCCACGGGGCTGTACCGGCCAACGCACACGCCGCCTTCGTCGACACGGTACATTAACCACGTATGGCTCTGAGCGCCAACACCCTTTGAGAGCGTCAGAGGTGCGCCCTATTCTGGGCGGTCAGAGCCACCGTCCGCACCGGTGCACCGTACAGTACCATTGACCGGACAACCCTGTACAGTCTTGTCGCAACACTGGTCCACCCAAATTGGGCACTCCATGGGATGTAACCAAAGTGTCGTCGGCGTAACAAATGACGCCCAGCCCGGGAGGGAAGTCTGCTCGAAGGACCCAGTCGATGTTCCACAGAAGGGGCCTAAGACCAGAGCCTTGTGGCACACCGCACGATATGGGCCGAGTAGTCTGTGAAAATCGGCTTTCATAGACTTAGTGATTTCTGTTTGTAAGTGTTTAATGAAAGATATCACTTCTATTAATTATTGCTATATACAAAAATGACACACGAGCTAATTCTGTGGCAAAGAGGAAGGAATGAAAAAAATTTCACGAAAAATTTTGTATGATAAATCCAATTTTCTCTCTCTCTCTCTCTTATTAAAATAAACAAATAAAGATAGAAAAAAATAGCTGTTTGTTTTATTATTGATAATTTAAATAAAGCAGATGTTATTGAGGATATTTTTTAAGTACTATAAATACAATTACATAAAATATTTAAAAAGATTATGATGAGCTCAATCTGTTGATTGATTGACATAGTGAAATAAGGCTCGGGAACGGGCTGTTCCACTAGTCCCTGCCAGCTGTTCCTCCTGGTGGGGACAAGTGGAATTTTATTTCCACTCTTCCCTAATAATGAAATCTTAACGTATTATTGTACAGTTGCAATCCAAATAGCTTTTCATAAGATTAATATTCATGCCTTTTTGATAGATTAATACAATATTGCAACTGGTGGGGACCTCTTTATACACTGAGTCATTATGAAATATAAATATGTTACTATCAGTGTCATTACAAAATAACGTGTAAATCATTTTGTCGTAAGTATTAAGCATTCAAGATCATTCTTTCACTTATTTGCTTTTCATTATGTCTGACGATGTAATATTATAGAAAGAGGTAAAGGTACTGTTTTACTTTATAATGGTTATCAATATCACTGCTTTATTTTTTTAAACGGACTGAAATATTGGAAATGTTCACTAAGAAAACTAAATGTGGAGGATCTCTAACGCTCAAAGTGCGTACCAACTTATACGATAGAAATAGTACATATGTACGATAAGAAAACCATTGCTCGTTTTTATTCATGTACTTATTCTACACGAAAAATACCGTTTTACATTTTGATCCTGTATTTTGATTTTGTTAAATTATGAAACAATTATCATATGGGAAGTAGTACATACACCGACATGTAAAAGGGATGTGTGTAGAAACGAAATTGACATACGTCTTAATAAATGTAAAAAAGTTACTAAAATATTTGAGGACACTGTATCAGGAATTGCAGATGATGGCTTAGACATGATCTGCAAAATTCCTAAATTTGACTGTGTAAAATCTGGACTGTACAAGCATAGGAATGTAAAAACGGGTGTTAAAAAATTGCTAAATTCGTTGATTTTCAAGACATTGAGATACCATCACGATTCCAGTCGTTTGTTATTGGAGATTATACACATGAAGATACTCGGATATTAGTTTTCGGTCCTGAATGGGTGAAGGAGGTAATGGCAACGGCTAAAGAATACTTTTGTGATGGCACTTTTAGAATTTGTACTCTCCTGTTTACGTAATTAGTGACCATTCATTGTGATTTAGGAAGCACAATGCAAAACACTAAAATTATACCATTATTTTATGCATTACTCCCGGACAAGATAACAAAATAATATGAAGTTCTATTTGGGATGCTAAAATCACAACTTAAAGAATGTGAACGAAAAGTTTAGCGAAAAGGCCGACAGTTAAAGCTAGATAAATCAAGAGACACGCGGCGAATTATGTCCTTGACTGCTGCGTTACCTCTTTTAGATAAATGGTGGCTTAAAAATAAAGAAGTTCAGAAACAATGGAACGTCTTTGGTGTGCGACACCGCACCACACATTTAAATTTGCTACAACTATTAAGTAAATTGCATAAATATGCAAATGGTATTCTTAAAAGAAATACATTGCAATCACCAATAACCTTCAACAAAATAAATAATATTTTATTTTTCGTAGGGAACTACCAATGACGGCAATACCGCAAGAAAGTTTTTCGAATTGCCCAATAAAACTGCCCAATAATAGCGAGAAGATCAACGCAATTAAAGTTTAAGATTTTGCCCGCAAAATAGCAGAAAGGTACGTGGAATTATACGACTGGTACTGTAGTTGTCGATCGTATATATTAATATATTATAAATCCACAGGCTGATTTTATCGAGAAAATAGGTATTGTGCCGTTTGGAACTCTCTCTGAAGAAGCCTGCCTCGAAACAAAAATTTTAACAGGTTCCGGGACGGTTTACGGTTAGGCAGGCAAGATTCATTTTAAGATATTATACTAAATATGCTTGTTGTTTCTTCAGAACCTTTCCTAAGTGTACAAATGCCTCAGTTAAAGCAGAAAGTAGAGATTTTTTGCTAAAACTCTAAACTTAATTCAGTTTCAGGCAACTGAAACTTTATAGATATGTCCAATCTGGATTCTGACTCCGAATTGGAATCCAACAACGAGAGATATTAGGGATCATATTAACGTAATTGTGAAAGCTTTATGTTTACCACGCTTTTATTAGCAGCATCTGTATGTAGGTAAAGGAATCTTCGAACTCGATTTTGACACAAAATAAAATGTCATATTCCAAAGAAGATCAGCGAATTTCCTTGATCTCTAAGCCAACCCGTTAAGCATACTTGCCTTTTTTACGATAAAACGATTATTTTTGAACTTATAGAAATACTAACTTTTGCGGTAAAAAGCAGCTGATAATGGAGCTTTTCATTGGTGAAAGAATTTCAAAATCGGTTAAGTGGTTTAGGCGTGAAAGTGACCAAACAAACTCACTTTCACATTTATTTATAATATAAGTATGAAAGTAAAGATACGTATTCTCTACTGTATAGTATATATAATGTTTTACCCTATGCTACAGTAGATTACTGAGTTGCTAACTTCAACACAGGTAAATCGAGCTGTGAAGATAATCCGCTACATGGACGGCCAAATAGGCGCAAATTTTATTTGGTAGGTAGCATTCAATACATTTACCTGATTCACGTAAATTCAGGAAAGTGTCGGCAAGATGGGTAATGATAATGTCCTTTTCATGTAAGTCGAGTTTGGGAATGCGTAATTGATCCAATTTTCCTATTAAACTATTCATATCTAAATGTAAGGCTTTAATACTTTTTCGTATATAACTAGGTATATATGTATATTATATACCTAATAAACAAAATAGAAAAAATAGAAGGCAAGAGAAAACGACGACGGCCTAGATCAACATACATGCAGCAAGTGAAGGAGAAAGTGGGAGTCGTGGCCTATCAGGAGGTCAAACAGAACGCAGGACATAGAGAGGAGTGGCGATTGCTCATCCGACAAGGGCTTGGCTCTTAAATTAAGAGAGAGATATACCTAATAAAGTGGAAAAGCCAAATTTAACAGCTTCAACCGTAATTCTATGCTTCCGAGGACTGCTCTTATAACGCACAGTAGTGCCTTAACTAGGCGTTGGTAATCATTGGGAAATAGAATCTAAACTCACTACTATTTACCTAAATCACTACTTTTTCTATCACATAACTCCTTTCTTCTGACGAGGTTAGGGTTGCATTTATTTCCTTTCGATGTTTGGAAGTGTAATAAACGCGACATTCATACCCTCGTTATTATGTAAACAGCCATACGTAGCACATACTGTTCTGTAGTTAAACAGCTCAACTGTATGTTATGATAGCAAGAGCCAACAACAGAACTCTTGCCATCGTTATAGTTCAGTAATATCTGCAAATGTAATAGTAATTATCGAACTAATGTGTGGCGTCACTTAGGCCGGCGCGGGTACGACATGAGGCAGTTTGCCGAGACCGAGTCACGTAATTGTAGCTTTATACCTACAGTTCAGTGGGATTGGCCTATGGAGGATTGGCTCGAGAGGTGTCACGGGACCCTCTCATACCGACTGACGCAGTTGATCACTGGGAAAGGATGTTTCGGGGACCTGTGTCTGATTCGCAAGGAGCCAACGCCTGAGTGCCACCACTGCGATGGCCAGACCGTGGACACGGCTCTCCACACGCCGGCAGAGTGCCCGACGTGGGTTGAGCAGAGGCGAGACCTCGTGGCGACCATCGAAGTGGGAGTTCTCTCACTCGATAGCCTGATTGAGGCTATCGTGCGGAGCGAGAGTGCGTGGAACTCTGCCGTCTCCTTCTGCGAGCAAGCTATGCTCGCGAAGGAGACGGCGGAGCGGGACCGGTAGAGGTTTAGGACTCTCCCGGCCCGCCAGGCCCGGGAAAGGGCCAGGTACCGCAGGCGACTCAGGCGCCGGAGGTCGCAGAACGACCTCCGTCCTCCATAAGGCCTGGGGGTGACAGGTGAGGCCATCTGTCACCCTAGCAGAAGCAGGACGGGGTGGCGGCGAGCGCGTTGCGAAGCGCGCTCGCTTCCAGGGAGCAGAGGGAACATGGGGTTCCCACACGGGGGGGTCGTCTATCTGTTGTTGTAGATGGCCCGAGGTATGTCAGGGACTTCCTTTCTAGGGTATACCTGGTTCCCCGGCTATTAGTACCCGAGACGGCGTGCGGTTTTAGTCGGTTCGAGTCCGACATGCCACCGACAGGTGGTATCCGAGGGGATTTCCGTACGGAAAAAAAAAAGTGGGATTGGCCTGTCATAACATGGTTTTTGATATGAAAAAGATTTATGGTGGAGTCATTTCTAACCTGGATGGTTAACGAAAAAGGAATCTCTTTCCTAGGAAAGGAGTCACTGGTTTAGTAGGTAGGTACTGATCTACCTACTAAATTAGTGACTCCTTTATTGATTACTATTTGACATTGTATGTACTGATGTACAGTGTCAAGTAAGAATCAATGTTATGATTAAAACATGCTTGCATAAACAATGTAAACTCCCAAAATTATGGAAAGATGCATCTATGCCTGGAAGAAATTGCACTAAGTGATAAGGCCGCCCTTTGTACATTTTATCTGTTGTTAATTACTTTGTAATGTCTGTAAAACCCTGGTGTACAAATAAAGTATTTATCTATCTATCTATCTACAAAGTACTGGATATCATGATAGATTAAACAAACTACTAGAATAAATTTGGGTGAAATGTTATCAGTACCAATCTTCAAGTACATAGTTAGAGTTACCAGATATATATATATATAGCTTTTTGTATTAGGCACCTTACCAAATACATAAATGCCTTTCCACTAATGGTCTTGGTATCATTTGCAATAATAATAAATTTAACATAACCAATTTACAAGACCTTTTATCTATAAATGCCTTTATTTTGTTGCATTCAAGTTTGTCACTTTAGACAAAGAAATCATTGTGAAAAGGCTTGTTAAGAACCCAACATATAATATGTTGGGTCAATAAATTATATATTTTTTAAAAGAAACATGTATTTGATAAAAGGTATGGGATGCCAGTGTTAGAATTACCAGTGATATCTACATCCACACTGATAATCCCAAAAACAAGTTTACAAACATGTTACTAGAATGTTAATGAGAGTAAAATAATCTGTTTTATAATGATAATGATTGAGACTAAGACTACATATAACAAAATGTAGGTTGAAAATGAAACAAATTACATAACTATTATCATCTATTGAACAACTTAATGAAACTAAATTAAAAGTTATCTACAAATTTACATAACCACAAATATGAACTTCAATTAGTCCAACTCACCACAATCAGAGATCACTACTTTCTTTGAAGGTTTGCCACTTTTTGATCCAAGAGCCTCCATTTTACCTACCACATCCATACCTTCCACTACAGCTCCAAACACAACGTGTTTCTTATCTAGCCAAGGTGTAGGTACGGTTGTAATAAAGAATTGGGACCCATTAGTATTAGGACCAGCATTAGCCATGGACAAAATTCCTGGTGCAGTGTGCTTTAGCTTGAAGTTTTCATCTTGAAAAGTTCTGCCATAAATTGATTTGCCGCCGGTGCCATTGTGATTAGTGAAATCCCCCCCTTGACACATAAAATCGGGAATTATTCTATGGAATGACGATCCCTTATATCCAAAGCCTTTTTCCCCAGTGCAAAGGGCTCTAAAGTTTTCAGATGTTTTTGGGACTAACTCGTTTTCAAGTTTTATTACTATACGCCCTAAAGGCTCTCCATCGGCAGTAACATCGAAGAAAACCTTTGAATCAGCTTGAGTTGAGGCAAAACGTAATGTTGCCGCAGAATATAGCGTACCGTTAACTAACGTTCGACGCAATATAGCTAAAGAGGCCATTCTTCTAGTTGTTATTCCAAAAACTGAAATAAAAATACATACAAATACAAATCGGTTTACCTCTACTTCTCTCACAAATTTACTAAGAAATAACCTACCGACAGCCACACGTTCTTTTTTCGATTCTTCTTATGCCAAGATTGCCAAGCTCAATCTGCCTAATGTTGCCATCGGTTAAATGAACTCTCCACCAGATTCGACATCTAAAACCACCAGAAAACCACTAACGAAAAACGACCCTAATATAACAGGCACAAAATTTTGCAATAAACATTTTTTTTGTAATTACGTCACCATAATCATATTTTTTGCTTTAGCATTCTCCTTCCAACTTCGGGCCACAGCGTATTCTTAACTCAGCAGATAAAAGATTTATCTTCATTCTATTCCTCTGTTTATACCTAAAATCCAACATCGTCATTGAAATGAGGCAGTAGTAAGAGATCAATGCTAAAGGTCGCTAATAACTCAAATGTCGAAGTAACTTGGCCCCTTGGGCATCTTTGAAGAGCAATACCTCTAGGATATGGAAGTTCCTTAACACGTAAGGCATTAGTGGACAACAACTGACCGAGTTTCATTGGTTTGAATGATATCAATCTTCATTTCTCTTCGAGTAGAGAGAGTCGGATCCTGTATTATATCGCTAGTTTGCTCAGACCCTATACTTTTAACTTTGCATTTTCTCCTGTGCCTTCTGGTGACATCAAAAAGATCACCTGTCTATCCGTTGTAACGCTAAGGTTTGCAAGCCGTAGGATGATAGTTACCATCATGGATTACGTCCTCAAAGTTAAGGCCACATTGTTGACTTCTTTCTCAACCCCGAAACCTTTTCCTCTCTAGCACAAAGCCTACATCATCCCATTGCCTAATATTAATAATCCTTCTCTTGCTAAGCATTTCTTTCCAATCCCCATTCTTCCTTTCTCAAACAGTTTTCACAGTTCATATTTCAACAGCATTTCGTAAGTAATCTACAATCATACTATTACTACTAAACCACTAAAAAATCCACTAGCCACTAAAAGCAAAATTCGCCAGTAAAATGGGGTCGAAATCACCAGTTTTAGTGGAAAATTCACTAGGTTGGCAACATGAGCCAAGCCATAGATTAAAAAAACAAAAATTAAGACAGCAAATCATCACGAACGATGGAAATTATTGCTACTTTTAAATAAAAATCATATGGTAAAATGATTGGCCATAGTCATTTCGATTTCGATTGGGATAAATCACTTTAATGTGGTCATAGACAAAGATACCAAGAATCACTAATTTTAATAGCTACACACTGTTGCCCTAAGCAAAGAAATAAAAGAAACAAATATATTGAATTTTATTTCTATCAGAATCTTTTTGGAGGATGATAGTTAAACCCCGATTTACTTATATTTATTTTTCGTCGGAATATATCTATTTAAAATTGAAAAAAAAAGTATCTACGAGCCAATAAATATCGCTCTATGTATTCGCTTTTGCGGGAGCCCCGTGACGTTGAGGGTAAGTGACTTATGGTAAAGACGGTACTGGTTGCTACTTACTCACGCGTTGTTGCCAATAAGCTGTTTTAAGAGACTATTTAACAGTAAATCTAGTATTTTTAAATTATAAATAACAAAAAAATTACTAGATTTACTTTTAAACAGGCGAAATAGGGTCCTTATGCATAGTCTGAAAACAGCTTATTGGCAACAATGCGTGAGTAAGGAGCAACCCTAACCTACGTACGAAAAAATCGAAGGATAAATTACAGTGATTTTTCCCACGTATTTTTATTCCATCCAGTATCACGCTATATGTTTTCAAGAGGTGTTCTATAAAGCACCTAAAGACTCTAAAGGCACTCTTGCTTACATAGATCCATTTTGATATAATTCTGTTTTTTTTTTTAATATTATTTAGATTTAAAGCTTTAAAACAAAAACAAATAAAAGAAGACGACACCATTTCATAAGAACACATCAGTTTACGACTAAATATAAATAAAAACAATATCTTAATTAATATTCAGAATGAGTACGGGCAAATGGATGTAAATTGACTCAACACCACAGTTTTTTGAAAATTCTCTGCTCTAGGTCATTGCCCACAAATTGAAGTGTTCGGATCATTTTCTTCATAGAGAGCTATGATTTTATTCTTGCGGTTATTTTTTATATTTAGGTTCCTTTGTGACACGCAGTATTCTTCATTCTGTGACTATGTCACTTCATGATAGTTTTTACCAAAGAGTTTATATATGTTTGAGGAAGCGAACAAGGCGCTATCGCATACGGTTGATAGCGTAGAGTGAACAAGAGCCTCAATCTTGCAATATATGCAACGGAGAGATGGATAATAGATAGGCTTATAATGTAGAGGGCATTTAAAATAGCACATCTTCTCTCTCTGTCTTCTCTCTCTCTCTACCAACCATAAAGACATTAGCAAAGAGGTCACAGGATACAGCTGCCTGTAAGTGGCAACGATACAGGCAACGAGAGAGATGGATGCTAGATAGTTCCCTCTGTCTCTATTTAACAATCGAGCTATAACGATTGGTTATCGTGAAGTGGGCAATGTTTTTGATCGTAGTACAGGCGGGAGATTAGAAGTTTCCCCAGCCCACCACAGAGATCGACTAGAAATACTTACAGGGAGCTTTCGCTTGTAGCCTATAAAGGGTTTTCCAATAAGAGGTGTTATTTTAGTATTCAAAGAAAAATGCAATTTTTTAAGATAAATAATAGGCTGTTTATTTTAAAATAAAGTGGAAGGTATGCCGTTAATAATGGAAGATAACATCAGCCAAATGGCTACCACGACCACGCTTACAGGACCATATTCTTTTAATGAAATTTTGCAAAACCAAATCGCAAAGTGGCTGCCCTATGTCCTCGATAGCCTCACGAATTCCATCTTTGAGGTCTTGAATCGACGCTGGGCTGTTGGCGTAGACCTTATCTTTCACGTGGCCCCAAAGGAAGAAGTCGCAAGGTGTTAAATCACAAAATCTCGGTGGCCAATTGTGATCACCTCTTCGAGAGATAACACGGTCAGGAAACTTTTCCCGTAAAAGAGCAATGGTTTCGTTGCTTGTGTGGCACGGAGCGCCGTCTTGTTGAAAGTAAACGTTGTCCAGATCAATACCATCCAACTCCGGCCATAAAAAATCATTAATCATATCTCGATAGCGCAATCCATTCACCGTAAGTATTGATCCAACCTCATTTTCGAAAAAGTAAGGTCCAATGACCCCGCCGGACCATAAACCGCACCAAACAGTCACACGTTGAGGATGAAGAGGCTTCTCAACAATAACTCTTGGGTTTTCCGAGCCCCAGATGCGACAATTTTGCTTGTTGACGTGGCCTCCTAGGTGGAAATGGGCCTTATCAGTCAAGATGATTTTTCGATGGAATTCCGGATCATTTTCATGCATTTCAAGTACCCAATCAGCAAAGACACGATGTTGTTGATGATCGGCCGGTTAACTGAACTTTATAAGCCTTAAGACCCAAGTCTTTATGCAAAATACGATGTAATGACGTTTGTGGAATGCCCAATTACAAAGAACGACGAGGAATGGACAAACCTGCGTTTTCTTCAACACTTTGGGCTACAGCAGCAATATTCTCAGTTGTTCTTGAGCGACGTCCACGGGTTTTATTCTTCACATTACTAACTTGTCCCAACAGCTCAAATTTTTCCACCAATTTCTGTATTGCGGTCCGACAAGGTGCTTCACGACGACCAAAAAATGCTTTAGTTTTGCAAACTGTGACTGCAAGATTTTTACCATTTTTGTAGTGAATTTTAATAATTTCAATGCGTTGTTGAAGTGTGTATCGTTCCATTTTTAGTAATGGCGTAGTTTCTACTTGTCAAATGTCAAAAAATAAAAGCTTCAAAAGTGACAGCTACCGAAATACCGGTTGATTCAAAATAACACCTCTTGTTGGAAAACCCTTTATTGCAAGATTGGGCCTTTTATTCACTCTATGCTTATATCACCATGGTTGGAAATTATTGCTACCTTTAAATCATATTCATTTGATGAAATGATTGATTTAGTCTCAGCGATTTCACATAAGATTGTGATTTCGTCAAATCAATAAAAATTCTTTTGATTAAAGATTACGAATTTTTTTTTAGACCTTTCATGATATTGCGCTAGCGTAATAACAATAATTAAGTAGCAGTGGTTGTGGAAATCAGTTACAGGTGTGATGTAGTGATTTTGTAATGATATGATTTACCACATGTGATTGTGATTTTACGCAATCCCTGGTACAATACATTAGGTAGGCGACCTCTGTGGTCGCCACATGCCGTCAGTGTTGCCAACCTAGTGGATTTTCCACTAGAACTGGTGGTTACCCCCCTTTTGGTGGCGAAATTTTGCTTTAGTGGCTAGTGGATTTTTTTAGTGGTTTAGTAGTAATTGTAAGATTGTAGAGAACTTAGGAAATGCTGTTTGTGTACGCAAACCTCAAGAACGTTTGATAGGAAAGGAAGAATGGGGATTGGATAGAAATGTTCAGAAAGAGAAGAATTATTAATTTTAGGCAATTGGATGATTTAGGCTTTGTGCCAGAGAAAGGTTTAGGAGTCGAGAAAGAAGTCAACACTGTGTGTATGTTTCAATAATGTGTCAATAAATGTAATTCAGGATGGTATCTATCTTCTTAATGCTTGGAAACCATTGCTTTCCAACAGACAGACACACAGAAGGCACAGGAGAAAATTTAAAGAAGGCAATATTGAGTCTGGGCAGACTAACGATATAATTCAGGTTCCGACTCTATGTTTAATGATCCGGTTAGGTAACAGAAGAGAAATGAAAATTCATATCATTCAAACCAATGAAACTCAGTCCATTGTTGTCTATCAATTCCATACGTGATAAGGAACTTCCACATACTAGAGGTGCTTCCATTGCTCTTCAAAGATGCCCATGGGGCCAAGGCATAGGGGCAAGGCCAAGGAGTTTACGATATTTTATATGACTCTCTTAAAATCGCCTCATTTTAATGTCGAGTTTGAGTTGAGCGATAATAGATATAAACAGAAGAAGAATAATAATAATATTTTCGAACATCTTACACAAAAAGCCATCTGTTTTAAACTAGAGAGAGCTTTTACTATTATTTTTTGCTTTCTTTTTACAAATCTCGCACTAGGAATAAATCCAGTGTCGCGGGGGACTTTACAAACATCCTTAAAACGAACACAAAGGACACCCAGGCTCAGAACAACGATTTGTAGATTACACAAAGTGTTATCCCATGTGGGGATCGAACCCACAACACTCAGCGCAGTAGGAAGTGGCGAGGTGACCGCTTAAACGACTACGCCATCCGTGCAGTCAAACTATTAAAGCTAGATTGACTGATAGAATACTTATATACTTTTTTTTGTAAATACTTTCGTATTATAGTCGGTCGAACCAAACATTTGCAGATCATGCAAACATTTAGTCCGACCCGAGCATCGAACCCTACCCTACCCTCATACACACTCGCATACGCTACCACTGCACCACCGGGGCAGTCACTAGAATAGAATAAATGACGCTGTGGTTTGAAGTTGGAAGTAGAATGCTGCAAAAAAAATGAAATTCCCATAAACTTTGTAAAACAAATCGGTACCAAAGAATCGCATTAATCTGAAACCGACGATGATGATGCTGACAAAACTGATTAATATCAGTATTAAATTTTAATAAAGGAAACTAGTTCTTTACTAATATGCTTATGGTTTTCTTTCGTAATTCCCAAAAAAATGTTTAGTGGGAATTTTAGTGCCTGTTATTATTATTATATCGAATCTGGTGGAGAGTTTATTTAACTGTTCGCAGCAATGCTCGCCGTCTATGTTCAGTAAGATTGTAAACATTGACATAGTGTTAACCTCAAAGTGCAGTTGACTGTACTGACTTTACAGGCAGACTTACTTAAATATAATAAAATTGCCACACTACATGATGCACTGTGTTCGATCTTTTATAGCAGTGATAAGGCAGAATCGTGATATAGTAATACCCTCCCAAAAACTATTTAACGTGAAAAGATATAACTTTCAACAACCGCGATGCAATTTCTCTCTAAAAAACGAAGAAGACGCAGGTAAATACTGTACTAATACACGTAGAAAGCTTTCAGTTCTGTATGTTATAACTCCTTTTTTTTATTTCAGACCAAATAGTAGAAGATATATGCAAAGGTGATACAGACCTTGAAAAAAAATTAAGGATATTAATGTTAGAAGTGGAAGTGATGCGTCAGGATGGCCGGTATGCTCCAGATCGTATACGGAATGATCAGTGGGTGCATTTACTAGAATTACAAAGCAAAAGCCAAAGAACAAATTATCTAAGATATTTATTTAAGACAGAAAAGGCAAAAGAAAACTTTAAGGTACTATATAAATAAAGTTACTATTTAACCAGTTAATAAAACTCGACCGTCTTGTCGATTTCTATGATGTTCTATAATAATACTCTCAATAAACCCTAAGTGGTATAGTGCAAAATAAACCTCCTGTCTAAGGAGAGGCCTATGTCGTATAACATGTTGAGGAAGTGGCATACACTATAGTGAAAAAAAAAACATTATTCAATCATAGTTTAATGTTATAACATTCAAAGAATTCTGTTTACAACCTTCAGCAATTTTACCTTTATATTATATTTACTAAAAGTGTAGGTAGCACACCCTATGCTACCTACACTTTTAGTAAATAATTAAAAAAAGATTAGTGAAAGCAAGGGCTCAGTGCCTACATACATGCACAGATATTTTATATTGTGTAATATTCTCTATGCCATATTTAACCCATATTAGTCAACTAGTAAATATAAGATTGTATTTTTTGTTGAATGAATCAATGTAATAATATAAAAATAGATATATTCAAAGAAATTGATGAGTTATACACATTCAGGCTAAGAAGGAAGCTAAGCGGATTGAAAATCCTGTAATTAAACCTGAAGATGTGAAGGAAAATGAAGATGATCTTTTGTATGGCATTCAACACCAGTCATTGTTCCTCCGCATACGAGATCAGTCAATTAATCAGTTTGACAACTATCGGTAATTATTTTTATAAATTGGCACCTACCCATATATAGCATCCCATCACATAATGCTGCATAAAGTTTCTACAATGCTGCATTTCGTTGCTGTACAACATGCGGGCAACCACAGAAAAGTGCTGTACATTACTTTTCTGTGGTTGCCCGCATGTTGTAGAGAGCATTCCTGCAAGTTACTTTAAAAAAGAAGGTTTCAAAATGATTAATAGCAATTTGACGGCTGGATGGCATAGTGGTTTGTGTAACGAACTGCTACACCAAAGGTCATGAGTTCAATTCCCGTTCAAGTCAAACATTTGTGTGCATGAACATTTAATGTTTGATTTGGTCTGGGTGTTTCTATGTATGTATTAAAAAAAAATATATATGTATTTATATCAGTTGTCTAGTACTTATAGTACAAGCTCAGCTTAGTTTGTTTGAATGTTACTCTCTATTTTGATAGACAGCAAATTATTAACCTTACAAACTTAATGTTTAATTTGATGATTAATTAAGAGTTAAGTTTAACACTCCACAGAAATAAAATTTATCTGTTTATACACCTAAAACTCGTAATTACTTATTCATTAATTTTCAGAGCTCTACAGGCTATGATTTACGGACAAGGATTAGTTATCGACTGCTCATATGATGATGACATGGTGTACAAAGAGACTTTGAATGCTGCGAAACAACTAACTTTTGTTTTTGGTGATAACAGAATTCACAAACAACCCTTCAATATACACTTCTGTAACTTAAATATGGAAGGGGCTTTTATGCAACAGTTACGTAAAAACATACCTTCGCTGGACGAGCCTTGGTTTCCAATTAACTTGCATACTAAAAGTTATCTTGATGTCTTTCCAAGAGAGAAGTTGGTGTACCTAACACCACATTGTCGGGAAGAACTAACACACTTTGATCATGATGCAGTGTACATTGTTGGGTGCATGGTTGATAAGGTATTCAAGTTGTAATCACATCAACATCAACAGCATTTAATAGTCCACTGCTGGACATAGGCCTCTCCTTAGAAAGGAGGTTTTGGCCTACTATACCACGCTGGCCAGACGGGTTGGTATAGGGTTTGTGTCAAGTTTTCCTTCTTTTTGCAGTGCTTGTAATACTTTGTTTTAATTTCTTAATGTTGTTGAATAAATATGTATGCATTTGATTTCAGATGAATAATGAACCATTATCACTGGTAAGGGCTAAAAGAGATGGTTTGAAAATGGCAAAGCTACCTCTCGACAGGTATCTAGAATGGGCACCAGGTTCGAAGAAAAACCTCAACATAAATCATATGGTACCGATTTTACTAGATTTAAAACTGACATCTGACTGGGAATTTGCATTGCGACACATTCCTAGAAGAAAACTCATGGAAACTAAAATAAAAGCTATGGAAAAGAGATGGCAAAATAATCCTGAAAAGAGGGATAATTTGATAAATGCCTTTAAAGGTAAATCAAATAATTTTACTAAAAAGAAATTTAATACTTTACTTTTCAGAGAAAAGAGAATGAACAATAAAGAATATAACTTTAAATCTAAAAGGTCCTTATATGACGATGAAAATATATAACATACCAATTGAAATGTCTTTATTTTTCATCTAACCATTATACTTTCGATTTGAACATGAAAAATGTAAAAGAATTGTGACAAAGTAAACAGTAATAATCTAAGTTTTGTACACTAATTTCGAAAATATAATACACATATATCATACCGAAATATAAAAATTAGGATATTTTATTTAAATACTTAGACAACAATTTAACTTCATCCACATTCATTTTATTTAATACACATACTCTATGCATCTAACTGCAAAATATACTGGGAAGTAATGCGGTCACCTATTGCACAGAGTTACAATGACAATATGACGATACACAATCGCACATTCGTTACACAAAGAACGTCTATAAAAATCTGATTCTTAATTAAAACTAAACTAATATTCAAAATAATGCATTAAATTGTCATAACTACAAAGTAGGAATATAAACTAAAACTAACAATAGGTACACTTCAAGATAGTATGTAACTAGAAATCTTGTCCACAAAATGCATGCAATTTATTCACAAAAACGAAAATATTGTTTGCACTGCAATAAAATCTTGTGCTTATAAATTAACTAAACGAGTTATAATTAAATATGTACATTATTTTATGTTATTGACTATGATAAAGGCAATGTTCGCATGTCGACATCTGCCGCAGTGGACTCTGACCGCTGCTTAATGGTCGCGAGAATCTCTTGTAAGTTCGATGGCAACGCGATATCTGCGAGAGGAACATTTTGAACCGGCGGTGGCGTCATAGGCCGAGACGGAGAATATGCTTCATCCTGCTAAAATATATTTCGTATGCTATATTCAAAGAACATAAAACAAGCAAGCAAAACAAGTTTATAAGACAAAACCTTATTGACCACATTCCTACAAATTCTAAAACAGCCACTGTGGAAAACTGATTTGTCTTGTCTTCCTAGACTTTCTGCAGAGTAAGATCTTTTTTACAGGCCATTTCGCTATTAGTAAATAAATACTAACAGGATTTAGGTACATGTAACTTGTTAAACTCCACATATTATTTTCTCAGTTGTGGATCTACATAAAGGCTTTTTGGTCTGCAGCCCAGGGCCCCGCAGAATAAACGCTTTCGCGAAGGATTATTACTATTAATAAAAATTATCTGATTAGGCACGGCGTCAATATGGGAGGGGAACACCTAAAATCATATGGTCTAGAGCCACCCCAGAGTAGGGCGCCTGAAACTAGCCATTCGGGATTATTTTTAGAGAAAACACACAGGTACCTCCCAAAGCGTTAGAGAAGCGTCCTTTTACCACTTCGTCAACAATAAAAAGGCGTTTAGTGGTTTAGCCCAGTTTAGTAGTTTAGAAAGGCCCTAAGTAGTTTTAACCCAGGGCCCCAGTATTTCAGGGTACGCCCCAGTATTTTCCTTTCCATAAACTACTGTTATGTTCCCAAGGTGACTAGAATCTTATGCCCCGTAAGCAAATGAGATAAAGAATTTTTATTCGTACTAGTAAACTAAATGAAGATACTGCTGACGTAGACTGGTTCAAAGGACGGTTTTTAAATGTTACAGGATGGAAAATAGAATAAAAACTGCATTATCACTTTTCAACCTACAGTTAAATAAAAGTTTATCTTTAGTGTTTCGCCAGTTTTTTCTTGATAGACTGCCTTAAACTTAAATGAAACTGTAATACAGAATATTGAACTATCATTGACTGCACAAAATAGACGTGGCATTACCTCTCCTATAGATGAATCAGCTCTTGCCATTTTAAGAATCTGTTGTTTCTGTTCTTCAATTTGCCTGTTGAGCTCTTCCATTTTACTCCTTAACGTGTTCGAACTTAAAGGCGGTGGTCCCGTTCCCGTTGCGGGCGCGCTGTTGCTGCTGTTGGACGAGCCCGGACTATACGGCTCGTCGTCATCGGCAGACACTGTCAAAATTATTTGATGATCATTCATATTCACGGGAAGAGAATTCTTTATACGATTTTTAAGAAAATAAGGAGACGCAGAGACGTCAAATCCGGAATATTTAAAGCTTATGTATAGGAAATAAATGAACAGAAGTCTAAAAACTACGTGAGACGACTACATTACTGCTTTTCAGTACATGTTAATCCGTCGTGGTACATAAGCCTTATTTGTAACTTTGTAATTTATATTTTAAGGCAAAACAAAATGTAATAGCAGAATATTTGAGAATAATCTATATTAGAATCGTGTTAAGAGTGCGTCGGATAGGATGCGTTCAGACGCTCAACCCTTTATATCACTCAAACTTAATACTGCCAATAAGATTGAATCTAAATAAGGTGGGTGGACCATGGAAGGCCACTCTAAAGAATAAACACTTTTTATTGGTATATTTACTGGATAAATGAAGGAAACAAATTGTTAAGTAATAAGTTGGTTTATTGTGTCCCATACAAATCACTTTTTTTTTACCTAGCTTTAATAACTATTTATTAAACTTAAGTTTTATTAAGCTCTTCCAAATGGCCTTGCAAGGAACAGGGCTCCAAACAAGGCCAATATTATAATTCAGTCGTTCAACTTAAAAATAGAGTTGTAACAATTAATATATCCGCTTTTACTAAAACTACATAATAAGCTCTTTCATTTAAGCGAAAGATTAAATGCACAATATATTTTTATTATCTATAAAAAACACAATGAACATTACTTGAACACCATCGTATAACTAAGAATATATTAATGGAAATTATTTAAAACTAGTAGTAATAAATATTATATTGATATAAAATAACTTGTCAACGCGTTTTATAATCAAATTAAAAACTTTTTTTTTTACCTTATATGGCCTTCTTAAGGCTCCGTTCTTTGTAAGGCCACAATGTTCCTAAGAAGGCCAAACTAACAATCCATGACTTTTTATATTAATTTCAATAAAATAATAGACACTACAGACGTACTGTAATTATTACAAACTTATCATGGCACATAGTCAGTCTTGTAGTCAATAATATTTAAAATCAACGGTTGTTAAGATTAAAAAACGTAAATAATAATAATAAAACGTTTGATTCGCTGCGATAAATCTTCTTCTAATTGTTTTGTGAGAATAGTTGTCTTCCCAATAATTTTAGTACTGTTACCGCTTACTAAATGGTTTCTAAGGGTGCGTCTTGGAATATTAACTTTCAACGCTGCAGCATTTGTATTAAGTTCATTATTTTGTACTGCTTCCATGGTTCGCCTTAAACTATCTTCGTTCCATTTACTACCTCTTTTTCTAGGTTCTGATTGTGACATTCTTGAAATCTGAAATTATACGTATAAATTTTAATCATCTGTTCAATTACCAACTTATTGATATAATTTTTTTTTGCTTTAATTATAGTTTTAGACAGACTATCTTAGATATACAATTTTTAACTTATCTCATACTTACTTTACCGCTTTTAACAAGCCAATATTTTTTATATTCGTTGCTTTTCATGTAAATTAGTTTAGTTTCTTTCCAGACATAACCTCTTCATAGACATGAAATAAATTTAAATATACACTGAAAACAAAATAATTTTGAAAAAAAAATCTATTTAATCTGAGTTTAAAAGTTATAAAACCCTTAAAAAAATATTATAAATATAAAACATTGTTTTAACTTTAACGGTACGTATTTATAACTACATAATAAGTGTTCATATGTTCATGGTTTATAGATGTAAAGCCCATGTTCCCTAGCAAGGCCAACCGTCAAATTTTTGATTGGCCTTATAAGGAACCACCGGCTTTCCTAGGAACACTCCCAATATTTTCACTGAAATCGAGGCAATTTCTTTTTTTTTTTCTTGAGTTCCATTAAAATATCCTTGTACGACAATTCACAGTTAAAAATATAAGGAAACAATAGGTTATTTAACTAAAAACTAACGTTTTGCTGTGCGCGCGAATAACAATTGTAACGTCGACGACCGAAGTCTAAGAAGCGTGTGATCGTACTGCCACAATAGCGGAGCGAGCGACTCGCAGCCGCGTCTGTGGCCTTTAGTTTGATGGATCCTAGTGTGTAGTAGAAGGAATATGTCTTTACATGTCAATAACTACGACTTTTTAATAGTTGGCCTTCAAAGGAGCGTGGCCTTCCATGGTCCACCCACCTTATATTATGATACCTCTAACCGTAACTTTTTCAATTCGATATAAAATAAAACAAGTACATGCAGACTCAGAATGTATACGTATATTGTTATATGGGTATACACGTGTTCCGACCTACCTAGAGAAGCAGCAATTTTATCCTTGACGGTAGTAGAGAGCGAGGCGGAGGAGTAGGCGGGCAGCGGCAGCGCGGGGCGGCGGCGCGGGGAGGCGGGCGGCGTGTACGAGCGCTTGCGGCTCGACCGATTCACCTACGCATCGACAGCACTGAGTAAGCGCACTGGCACACTGCGGTCCTCAGACCAGGGGTTTTATTACTTCATGGGGACTTGTAGTTGAGATGCAGTCGACCCACTTATGCAGTGGCGTTAGACATGCCTCGTATGTCATATCATGTGTAATTTATGATGGTGATAAAGATTATAAAAGTAATATTAAACTAAACTAACTTATTTCGATTTGTCTTAGTAACAAAACTATTTTTTATAGAAAAAAAATTGTACAAATTAATTATATTTCCTTGTTTCTGAGCTGATTATAAACTCGAAACTCGGTATTCGAAACAGAAAAAAGATTAACTACAAAAATCTAGGCTATACAATTTACGTTTTTTGTTTCGAGTATTATTTAACAAACACTATCTTGTACACACCTGGTAAAGAAATAATAAATGCGCAAGAGAGGAATGTTTTATTAACTTATATTTACATCTTCTGTCGGCGAACTGACCTTTGCTGGAATAACATCTGTGGGAATGTGGTGCGCTAGGCGCTTCTTTCTCTGTCGAATGACAATGGCGATCAAGAGATGAGTCTTGATCTCTCCGATGCCCGGCCCGTCGAGCGGCAGTAACACGGCCGGTAACGTCGTGTTAGCCGGCAGCGGTACAATATATAAATCTTTCACAGTCGTCATATTTGTTACCTTTACTACGCCTAACCTAAAATATAAAAATTAAATATTCATGTTTATTCTGAAGAAGTACCAATGACTAAATTAATCTGAAGAAGTAAGTATGTCATTTATTCCAAATTCATCACCCGCATGTACACATAATACCGACCTATTACGACTACTGAGATAGCTATATAAAGCAATGTATTGCATCTTCTCTTCATCATTGGCTGTTTGTAGTTTAAGTATCACAATATCCTTATTGCTGGTTTTCTTCATTTTCCCAATATAGTCCCAGACTGTTAGGGGATTTATTCTGCCTACAATATCTAATTCCGTACTGAGATCATCTTCTAAATCTGCCGAGCTTCCCGAAACCTGAGAAGAGAGAGAGAAAATAATATTTACACTTTATATGTTATATACTAATTATTACCGTGGTGGTAAGTACTAAAGAAACATTTATAATAGACAAAATATAATTTAATTAATTTACACAGACATAGCACATACTAAATTCTATATATAAATGAAACGTGAATCTTACAAAAGGTGATGAGTAAATGACTGATTGTTGCTATTTGTATTCAAAAGGAACAGGTTTTACAAATATAGTTACTACTTTTACAGGTAGTGATAAATCTACTTTGTACTATCTTTTTTGTCTTTTGCTTACACAAGGTTCGAGTGATCATGTTTATGTAACTGGGTTTATATAGTTAAGATGATAGTGATTAATATAATATGTATCTATATTAAGATCTGATTCTCATCTCTTACGTGTTATGTTACATACTATCAAGAAGTAATCTTATTAATAAGATTTTATATGACATTATTATGTTTTATTATCAAATAACCCAAACAGATACTATTTAAATTGTGAAAAGGTTTATTTAGATATAATATTAAGTGATAAAAGTATATTTTTTACTGTGTTCGAATGTTCTTAATTTTATATTATTTAACGCATAATGAGGCAAATTAAAGTTAGAAGAGAAGACGGAAACACTTTATACTTACGGCCTAAGATGGTTCTAAAATAGGTTCAAAGTGAATAATTGAGCACAAAATAGAAATGAAGATGGTAAATGTTTAAAGCTCTTTCGTTTTCTTTTATGCTAATTCTAACTAAAAGGATGTAAATAAAAATTAATAATTTTAATAAACCACTAGTATACACACTTCTTGTAAGAGTTACATTCTGAACCCATTGATAACTTACCTCGTGAGCAGCGACATAGAATCTAGCTACATCGACCATGTTGATGCACCCGCTCCATACAGTGACAGATGAATTGTCTACTGTACTACTTGGTTCTTGATCACTTTCCACTTCTAAATGTACAGAAAGTGAGATATTAGAAATAGTTTTTAATTTAAGAAAAAACAGCTTTAAATCATACAAGTAAATGAGATTAAACTGTTCAGTAGTGAGAAGCAATTTAACTGTATTGTCCAGAATCGAATCAAATTATAAATTTGTCAATTAATGATGTCAATAAACCCTTCAAATTATCTCCATTCATATTTATAAATAAAAAACCCGTAGTTGCGATAAAATGAAATTCTAATTATATATTATTACAAAAAGATTATCTAGTTATGAGAACAGAGGTTTTCTAGAAAGATTATAAATACAAATATTTTTTATAGCATCGTTACTGCACAACAAAGAGTCAAATTGAAAATGCCATAATAGTGAAATCAAACACTTTTAATGGTGTCAATTAACAAGTATCAAATTGCAAATGATTTTCAAATTATTTTTACTACACAAGATAGCAGTTGGGAAAATAACCACTATGTCATCAATGAAAACCGATTTTAATTAATAAACCTTTACCTGAAGTTTTTTCCTGCTTTGCTGCCGTAAATGTTGTTTCAGGCAAAATTATATTTGATTCAATTGACTTCGAGGGATCATATGCAGATTCAAAGGTGCTCATTTCATTTCTATAATTTTCCTCAAATACGTCTTCTCTAGATTTACGGAGATCTTCTTCAGAAAATGCCGAAGTTATCATTGGTTCATGTGGGTCATATTCTGGGTGGGCTTCTTTCAACATTGCTGACTTAGGCCTCTCTATGGAGTCTGAATCTGTGGAACTGAAACAGTATATTAAGTATAGCAATCGTATTTTGAACTTTAAAACATTAGGTTAATAAAGTGATGCCTTACTCATTTTTTGTCTTAATATATGCATTATCTTGAGATCTAGAGCGATGTTTCAACTTATCTTCTGAATTAATTCTTAGCTTAGAACGAGATCGTCTGCGCTTTGAACTATCCCTTGATTGCGACCGTCGTCTAGAACGCGCTCGTGACCTTGACCTTTCGCGGCCTTGCGATTTTGATCTCGATTTTGAATATTCCCGGGACTTTGACCTTCGCCTTGATTTTTCTCGAGATGATGATCTGTGACGTGATCGTTCACTTGAGTCTGATTTTTCTTTAGGCTCTATCTTAGATCTTTCCTTTGACGCTGAGCGTGTTCTGTTCGACTTCTTCTCAGATCTACGTATAGATCTTCTCTGATCTTTTTCTTCTTTTGAATCGGATCTTCGCCTCGATGATCTAGATTTTCTGCCCGAATCTCGTTTAGAATCCCGTCTTCTCTTTTTCGAATGACCGGAATTGCTTTCTTGGCGACTACGTTTTTTGCTGCTGTGCTTTTTCTCTGTAGTATCGATTTTATCGGTAGTGCTAAAAACGTTGTAAACATTATTTTTATCCTAATATTATTAGATAACTATTAAACCTATGAAATACTTATTTGAGTGAATAGATTTAAGTGAATAAATAAAAACATATAAAGTTAACATACTTTTCTGCAGCAGTCTCTTTTAGGACATCTGGCCCAACTGTCGAATCATTTAACGCAGTAACTACATCCTCGACAGGTACGTTTGGATCTAGTTCAGTTGAAACTGATTCCTTAGTTTCCATTACCTATAAAAATAAGGGTCTAAAATAGTCGAAATACAGTTAATCACCACTTTAAAAACTGATTTCGAAGTTAGTAAACATACCTCTTCTCCTTTGTGTGTTTTAAGGACATAAGTTTTGTTTGCTGCTAAGAGATCTAACTCTGATTTTTTTATTAATTCTAATTGATATTTTGCCTCCTTATCTCTCCATTGGGCTAGCTCTTGACTTGCTAATTCTTCTGGAGACAAACGAACCTACAAAATAATAAACAAAATTTTTACAGGTTACACTATAGCTTTACCATAACAATAAAAACGAAATATACAATGGAACTTGAAGATTAAATTAGACGTACTTAAATGTGAGAGAGTATAACAATATTAAAGTATTAATATACACTTGAACTTACTAGTTGTTTTGGTGTTATTGATCGATCACATATCTTGTGCCACAACGTCAGATTTTTCCGGTCCTTGATATTAAACATAAGCGATCTATATTTAGCTTTATATTTCATACCAACATCTCTGAACAGTTCATGTAACTCAAATTCGGTGTCAATTGCAAACTGTTGTATTTCATCTTCTGTAAACTTGTTTCCTTTATTTTCAGCCATGCGAATGCTCATTTGTTCTTGCAAGGCTTTTCGCACATTGTCTCTTACAGGCTCCCCACTTGTCATCTTCAATTTTACTTCCGCGGAATCTTTCCGACGTGAGGTCGACGGTGTTACTGAAGGAGTCTGTAATGTAACAATTATCGTAAACACGCCATCGCAACTACATAATCAAAACGTAAACACGTTCAAGGTTAATCTAATGCTACTGTTTTAGTTACATTACTTTTATTTTAAAATGTCCTCGGTTGAATAATTTAAAATTATGGGAGCTAATTTTTAGACTATTGGTATATACTAGTTAACACTTCTACCCATCAACTGATGTCAAACAGGATAAGCTTGTATTATCGGAGCCATAAAACTTGACGCCGTATACTATTGGGCAGGAACCAAATCAGTAATAAACTGACGACACGTATGACATAATTAATTGTTAAACTAAGAAGGCCTAGAAGGAATTCTCCATTATTGTCTGACCTTGAGTATTTTCTTTAAATCTGCCCATAAAACATTAATAATATAATGTTTTGAAGTTTGAGCGTTTATAGTGATGAGAATTATTATAGAGGTATTATTAATTAATGTAATATAATATATGTTAAAACTTCTAAGTATAGCTAGGAAATTTCCATATGCATTTATGTTGTTTAACAAAAATGTATTGGCTTTACTAAAATCTTTAACTGTACTTATGTGGCTCCGATTGTATTTTCTTTTTCTAGAATTGCATCAATTATAATATTGGATCCTGTACCCTCGTAACCTGTTTCTTCGGTGAAATACTGTGATTGTGATTACGGTGATTATATTATTGGAGTGCAAAAGTATGGTACTTCGTCTTTTTTTTCGTTTTAATTAATTGATGTCGAACAAGTTATACACAGGCTGAATTTAAATTTATGTAACTTATTCAATACAAAAAAAATCGTTTCTTTATTTTAATGTATAATGCTTTACGTCCGACTATAAAATGCAAACAAGAATACCTAAAAAAACGAGTTTATACTTAAACTGTGTGTGTGTTAATATCACAATATGTGTGTTGGTCAAAATTATTCCAGGCCCAGTAGCAGATAAATAGAACGATAACTTTACACAAAATATAATTCACCTGATAGTCAATTCAAACACCTCAATTTCTTTATAGAACTATTGTTTGGCTACTAGCGTCGGCATTGAAACATGGAAACTAAGTGAGCTACGCTATTAAAGGAATAGTTTTTGTAAGTATTTATATCAGTTGTCTAGTACCCATAGTACAAGCACTGCTTAGTTTTGGACTAGTTGGTATTATATCAATATGGTAGAATAATATTATAATATTAGAATCAATCAAATCAATAATTTACAATATATTTGTCTCACCTTATCGGCCGTTGACTGAGAGCGACCAGCTGCTCGTATTAGCTTTCGTGGTTCAACCGCAGGTCGCGCACTCGATGTACTTGGTTTTGGAGTTTCGATCAATATTGTTTGCTGAGACTTTGGTGTAACAGGGGATTTCAGCTGTGGTGTTGGCTTCGGCTCTGCTTTCGGTGTTGGTATTAATTTTATCGACCTTTCTTTTACCTCGGTTTGAGGTGATTTTGTAGATGTTGAATTTTCTGCGGATTTTCGGGGTATTCTCTCAAAATTTAACGTTGTTTGAATTTTATTTGGTTCTAAGGTCTTCTTTTTTGTGACACCTGGTTTGATTGTACTAAGTGTTCCAGGACGCACAACTTCAAATGTTGGATTACTTTGCAACCACGATTTCAAGTTTTCTGCAGTTGGAGCATTAGGGCCAGCAAGTAATCTACCACTTTTACGTTCATACACTATTACCTAGAAAAAACAATATATGTAAGTCTTGTATTGAGTTTTATTTATCCAAAATTCAATATTCAAATATTTCATTATAGTTTTGAACAACATTTTATTAAAATTCTAAATTTCAATTTTTTTTTTAATTAGTCGCTATTCACGATTTATTTATTAAAAACGCTTTAGAAAAGATAGAAGATGTCTAAGTCCAGGACCTCAATTCTGCTATTTTATGTTTACGCCAAGCTACTGTCAGTCCAGTGACACGCTATTGAGATGCAAAGGTATAAATATCGGTAGTTGAAAATATATTACGTTTTTAGAGGCAATGATTTATTTATTTTTATTATAATAAATTATTAAAAGGGAAAAATAAATTATTAAATTAAAAAAATGAAAATATTAAAATAAATAAATCATTTCCTTATAATTTGAAAATATATTACGTTTTTTGAGGAAATGGTTTATTTATTTTAATATATATATATAGCGTGTCTCTGGTCTGACAGTGGCTTGGCGTAAACATAAAATAGCAGAATTGAGGCCCAGTATACAAGATGGGAATCACAAATTTTCTAATGCATTTTTATATGTTATTCTTTCTCTCTTCTTTCGATTTGCAAAATCATCATCATCCTCCGAGCCTTTTCCCAAATTAGGTTGAGGTCGGCTTTCACTCTACTACCACACGGCTGAATTTTTCGTTTTTTTAGACCTTCACAACGCAAGTAGGTACTAGGCAATATCAAAGTTCTGTAGAAAGACTAGATATTGTCGGACTTTGTAGAGCTCCAAGTATCCGTAACAATTGCCATAGATGTTCGTATGGCTTAACGTGCTCTCCAAGGCACAGAGGGGTCTCAATGTATTAAGAATGGACACCCATCTTTAGACTGACCAGGCTAGGATTGCTTAACTTTGCAATGTGCTAGCCACGAGAACTATCGTCTAAGAATATAAATGTAAATGAACAGGGAAATTTGTAATTTAGTTCACCCATTATTATTATTGTAATGAAAATCAAATTTTAATGAATTATAGTCGTATTTCGACTGGCAGGCTCTATTAAAAACAAAAAGATCCGTTTAAATATTTTGGGTAAATGCTTCACATTGTTATTGATCTCAGTGAACAGAAAAATTAATTATTAAAAATAATTTGAGTTCCATAGTTCTTGACACATGGTAAATAAAGGGGAATATAGAACTCACTCTAGATTCAGCCTTTTGTTTTTCAGTAGATTTGCCTGGATCCCCTTCTTCTTTGCATGGTGTATTTTGATTCCCTAAAGAATCCTGTGCATGTTTCCAAATGCAGGTGTTACTGCAATAAATGCTGCTGGCTCGCGCTGGTTTCTTGCATACAATACAACTAGTTTTTAACAACTCTTTATCTTTAGTACTAGTGGCTGGTGGAGATATAAGCTCACCCTCAACAGATTCCACTTCCGATTTACTTTGTGCACTTGCAGTCTATAAAAAAAAATATTTTGGCATTTTAACATTATAATATTTAAGGTTTTTACAACTGTAAGGCTCAATAAAACAATAACAACTATGAAATAATATCTGTGCCTCCTGTGATGAGTGATTTAAGTCGAGTTGTACCCTTTTATAATTTTTACGTATATGATTTTTATATCATACTTTTTTATTTTTTTTGTAACGTTTTTTTATCTACTATAGTTTCGGAGATAATTTTTTGCAAATTGATATAACTGGCAGGATTTTTGCAAAAATCGTGAATATTTCTATTTCAATTATATTGATTTTTGCATATTTATCGTGAATATTGATATAATTAGAGTTATATCACTTTGAACAAATCCGAATTAAGATTCTAAATAAAAATCCGAATCTAAAAGACCATGATTTTACAAAACTGATACAATTCAGCTAAATCATGAAAACAGGCTGCGGGGGCAGATAAGTAAAAAAATCTCATTATTGGGATAGCATTTTTATCATTTGTTCCTAGCCCAAAGTTTGAACAACTTTAACTTTACAAAGATAAGGTAATGTATATCAATTTACACAAAGACAACTTATAGACGCAATATAGTTTGACTAAACTTGTATCATTTATCTCGTAATATCAGCATGTATTAGAAATAAAAAAGGTACTACTTACAGGTTTTTCTTTAAAACTTTAATATTTACCACAATTTTTTTAATGTACAGTGAAAGTGAATGTTTTTATCTACAAAAGAAGGTCCTCAAATTTAACCTAGCCCACTGAGATCGCGAAATATATTTTTTTAAATATTGCTTTTGTTCTCCTGTGGTGTTGATATTTTACTTGTATCATTTTTACTATTTTTAAAGCACTTTTCATTTTCAGTTATTGAACCCATAGTAACATACATAGGGAGTATAGTACAAAAGTAGATAAATTTTCAACATGTTTATTAAAGAAAACTATTTTGTTCAGTGCAATTTTCTTTAATTAATTCTTATAGGTTATGTGGTTCAATATATTTATTTACTTACTTGCGGTTTTTTAGGTTGTGGTTTTCCTTTCTTAACACAATTTGGACATCTCCATTCAATACCCTGTTCTTCCATTTGTTGTCCCATAGCTTTTGTAATATTAACACATTTCCCATGAAACCAGTCCTCACAACCATCACAACATATCATAAAACGGTTATTATGTGGTTGCTTACAAATACACCATAACCTGAAATATTAGATTGATATTAGAAAATCAATTATTACTAGTTTTTTGATAAAAGTAAAAATCTAGAGAAAAATTTTGAATACTGAATAACTACTTTGTGACTTGGATATCATAAATGTGTTATTGTAAGTAATTGGTTATTCTGCAATACATAAATTAATAACAATCAGATATCAGAAAATTATATTAACAATAACTAAGTGGTCAAATAAAGATATTAAATTATAGATAGTATGGAAATGTCACTGTCAAAGTACATTATAATCACGTCATTCAAAAACTCAACAATAATGTAAAAACATTTACTAATGAGATATTTTTTAAACTGAACTTTAAATAAATGTAGATGGAGTTCTCTTATGCATGCCAGCTTGAAGTGAAGAAGCTTGATATGTTTAGGTTATAAATAAATATGAGGCTATAGATACAGCCTCATATTTAGGGTGAATAATTATTTTTTTTATCTCAACTCAACTTTTGCATCCTTGCAATACAATATACTTTAGTTGCCGAATATTAGTGGCATCTCTAATTTATATAGCTGATGCAGTGAGTTATTAATATTAGACTTTATAAGATCTTTATAAGAAATTCATTAATCACCTCTTGTTGTATGTATGTATTAAAAACAATTATTTAAAAAACGCGCAATGTGAGTTGAAATTGGTTGTGTTATTTAGTGCTCAACTTTACTGTGGTTTAACTTCATATCTGTATTAACTGAGAATAACTAGACTCCCATATCCGTTATTTGCAGATATAGAGGCATGTATTTGTAACCATTTTCATATACATTTTTACTGAACCTGACCATCAGTAATTCAGAAATAAAAACCTATGGGTGAGTAGACATTTCTATAAAAATATACACATAATATTCAACAAAAGCATTTTCAATAATATAAAATGTTTACCTGTTTGGATCATCTTCAGAATTCCAACTTTCTTGAGATTCAACTGACATTTTATCTATAGCAGCAGGTGGTATAATCTGTTCTTGTTTTTTATTAGGCAGTTTCTTATTTATATACTGCTTAGATATTGTCAGAACTTGTGGTTCAGGTGTGATTGCTACTGGTTGTGGTTGAGGAATAGGCTGAGCAGGTTCTGGGGCAATACTTGCTGTATGTTGTGCTGATGTTTCCATCTGACTTTTACGTTTTGAAGAACGTGTTGCTGGCGCTTCAATCGGTGGCAATGTGATAACTCTTCCATCACGACGAACTATTTCTATAGGATCCTTACGTGGCGGAATTGTTTTTTGTGCCGACTTTGTCAGTGTTTGAGTACATAAGTTTGTATTAGTTGGCTGGTGGTGAATAACCTGAGGAGTTTGTGGTGTTGGTATTGTCTGGTTAGTCTGTAGACTTTTCACTGAAACTGAATCAACTTTACCTAATACTTGCTTATCAATTACCTCTTGTAAGTTTTCTGAACTTGCAACTAATTGTGCAACTGACATTAAAAAGTCTTCTGTAAGCCCTTCTTCTTCAGGTTGTAGTCCACCCAACAGATCTAGTGTTGGGGACAATGGCCCAGCTAAACTAGGGCTGTTCATATTGCCAGAAGTGGCAATGGTTGGTTGAGTTTTAGCATGGTTGGAAATGCCTGTAGTATCTTGAAGAATTTGTGCTAAGCTCATATCATCCAGTTGGGGTATAGGATCAAAAGCCTTTGTAACCTTTTCAGCAGGAACTACTTTCTCTTTTGGCTTAACATATGTTTTTTGTGCAGTGTTTTTAGGTTTTTCCGTAATATCAAACTTATTGTCTAAAGTTTTGACATCATTTGCTTCTGAGACTTTATTAATGGGAACAGGTTTTTTCTCAGTAGATAACATATCTTTTTCAGCAGGAGTTTTTGGTGGTACCTTATTGTCAGTAGAAACTCTTCTAATAACATCTGGAGTAGAAAATAAAGATGTCATATCTGATAACAGAGCTGTTACATGTGCTGGAGTTTTCTTTTCCTTTTTGACTACCTTTGGGGTTTGTTTGACTACAACTTTACCTAGATCATTATTAGGTGGTATAGTTGTTGATATTTTAGATGAAGGTAGCAGACTTTCTAAGTCAACTTCAATATCTTTCTTTTCCTGAACATGTTTCTGTTGGATCTTCTCTTTGTTTTCCTTTTTACTAAGAATATTCCTACTGGATTTTAACTTAGTTATTATTTTGGGTTCTGGTTTAGAAGCTTTACTTGGAACAGTTTTAAGTATCCGAGGTTTTAATTTGGCTTTTTTCAAGCGCAGTGAGCCTGACCTGTCCTTGGTATCTTTATAGTCTGAGTCAGAATCTCTGTCAGGTATGCTGTCACCAGAAGAGCTTATAGACGATGACTCATTACTTTCTTCAGACTTTTGTAATGTTTCTATTGGTTTTTCTAAATCTCTTAGTTCTTTTGATTTGAGAACAGTTAAAGGTTTATTCAATATGTCATTACCTTTTAAAATAATAGGTGATTCAGTGGGTTTAATAAGAATCTTTTTACCCTTGGGAATGATTTGCTGTTCCAAAATTGTTATTTTCTTAGAAGTAGGTACAGGTTTAGGAGGGGGTGTGTGAGAAATTTCGATAATAGATTCATCATAAGCTTTAACATGTTCACTTTTTTCTGGTATAGTCTGACTTGGTGATTTTAGTGGAGTGTAACAATGGTCATTCTGAAATCCAACTAGACTGTTTTCTCTTGTTTCTATTCTCAATGATTGTAACATTTCTGCACCACTATCTGAAATAGATAAAAGATACATTTTAAGATAAATAACTACCAAAAAAGACAGTTTTTTTATATTGAGGGGCAAACAAGCATACAGGATACCTGATGGTAAGTGTCTACCACCGCTGTTGAATATCTGCAACTCAAGAGGCACACATGTGTTGTCACCCTTTCAGTTGCTCCCCCAGAATCAGGAGGATGGGGAAGGTTTAGGGCTCCAGTTACCTCATAAATAGTAGTAGGACCTTATAAATAATAATTATGGACTCATTGAGAGACCGACAAATTCAAACAATATTGAAAATTATCAAACATCAAATGATAATAAAGTTTTTAACTTAATATTTAGTGATAGATTCATAATTGAACTGTATAGTGAGTGAAAAACAGACCCAGACAAAAAGAACTCACAGTTGATCTGTTTTGATGCCTATTCATAGGAAAACTTAAGTATAAAACAATATATGTGCAATATAGCACAAACTAAGCTTTATATGGTGAGGATCATAATATACTGTAAGGCAAGAGATTGCAAACTCATATGTGTTTATTTAATGTTAAGGGCTGGTTTTTCAATTATCATTTATACTGTCAGACAACTAAGTTGGGAATAAATTTATCTTACTGTTAATCAAGCAAATAAACTTTTTCTGTTTTTCAATCAGGTGTAAACAGACAGATAGTTACTTGATGGTCTTTCGTAGCAAAGTTCACTGTAAACATGACTAAGTGAGATGCAGCTATACAGTTAGTAACACGTTAGTAACAAGAATCATCTTGTTACTAACGTGGTTGTCAGGTTTAGTTAAGGTCATGTTGTCATATTATCCAATCTTGTGTTGTGAATATTATGACAACCTTATTGACAATGTTAGTGATGGTGAACAATGGTGTAGTGGGTTGTGTAACGGACTGCTACTCAAAAGGTTGGTTCGGGTTTGGTTCCCCATTCAAACATTCCTGTACATTTACATTTCATTTCTAAATTTTGTCTGGGCGTTTCTATGTATAATTTAAATAAGTTTACAAAAACATATATAGTAGGTATATGTATTTATATAAGTTGTATACCCATACATGTATACCCAACATACCCATAATACAAGCTCTGAGCTCTTAGTTTGGGACTAGATGGTGCTGTGTGAATGTGGTATAGAATAGTATCATTCTTTGTGTTACTTACGCAAACAAACACACAAGTCAAAATCACTATTCTACTGATAATATCACTAACTGGTGAAACAACAGATAAAGTTATTCCTCAGATTTAAACTTTATTCTTCAGATAACGATAAGAAAATCCAAAATTATGGTGACTGTAGAATAAATGCTATCTAACTGTTTATCTAAGGATTAAAAAACTGGCTCTAAGAGTAATGTCAGAAATGATTAACTATTTTTAGAAAGGCAGTGTGTAACAATGTGTGGTAACGGTTAGGACCCAACCACCAATAATAAAAGGTATCACTTACCATATTTTATGATACTGTTGGGTTCATCATAATAACTATCCACTGAAAGAGTGACATGCGGCACTTTCTCGTCATCTGTTTCTGAATCAGTAGCATCATCAGGCTTCCCTTCATGACCAACACGCACTACACTGATTCCAGCACTTTGGGTACCATCCGTACCTAAAATTTTTGTCAGTATTATGTTTACAGTATGGAACTAACATTCCCATTGACAAACACCTAAATCTAACTGCAATGTTTGCAATTTTATATTTTGGCGCCAAATTGTACTATGTAAAAAAATATGTTACATGATCATAATTTTAAAATAATATGGTAAAAATTTAGTGTGCGTTACTTGATTAGCATTTTGAGGAACCTAATGTCTTGCACTTTCCAGTAGCGTCATGAAGAACCAGTAAAATAAAGTAAACAATACTATAATATTATAACCCTCCTAAATAACCTAAACCTTAATAGATGATATAATGACTTTTGAAAAACTTGACTATAAAAAGTTGCTAATACTGAAAGTACGTACCCATTAGAGTTCCAAGTAGATTTTGATCTACAGACAAAGATCCATCTTTGTTTACAATAACAACAACAGAACTATCAGCCTTCGTAGAGGGTCCATTCAGATCCGTGTAATTAGTTATAACCGTGTTTGACATTTTTCATTGTAATTCATGCAATCATTCTAGCCCAAATCCTCTATTTTTAGCCATTTGTGTTACATGCAGCGCGTCTATTTATGACGCATCCAAATTCAACACGTTTGACGCCATTTTGGACTTCAATATTCAATTGAATGGCCGCACCGCGGCTTGCAATGTTTTCCACCTTCAAATGCTTAGTAATAAAGCAAAAAACCAAGAAGTCAATCGTTAAATAGACCCAATTAAAGCTAATACTATTGTACTTCGCTTAAAATTGTTTTGAACAAAATTAAATTGAAAATTTAATTTCGGAAACACTCAATAACCAAACTTCATTCTTACTTTTTTTTCAGATTTGGATACTAGTCTTATATGAAATGTCAGATTTTGACAATTTGATTTTGAGAATATTTACCTGAATTAAATCGTCACAACATATTGTTTAGCCCTTTTATAAAAATTTGAAATATGTTATGTCTGTAATTCCGTTCAGTCCGTCTGGCATGTATGAAGCATAAACTTCCATCCATTTAAACCTTTATAGATATAATTTTAGTGCCCTGCTGCCAAGTGAGGTCTTGAAACGAGTTCACAATAAATCGTTTTACAATGAATTTCTTATTCTTCGCAGCCTATTTTTCATAACAGTAGAATAAATTAATTAAAAAAAAAATAAGGTAATGATAATAAAATATAGAACAATTTTTTACTTTAAGTTAGTAGAAATTAATAGCGATCGAAAATCACAAGGGAGGCCGTCTTACGCCATACCGGGGCCCCCGGGCACAAATTTGGGTCCTATTGGACAATAAAACCACAATATTTTTTAGTCTTGATATTTATAATGCATTTTAGGAAAAATCTGAGATATATACCATTATAGATATTATAACAAATACGATGTTAATTAGTTAAGCGTGCTTGAATTGATTATTTGAATCGGTTACGATTTGTAAGTAATTTGTTTAAAAAAAATTGACTTTGAAGATAACAGAAGATTTTGCACAACCGAAATCCTGGCAGTAACACTGCCTTGTTTCTGCCAGGATTTCTGTTGTGCAAAATCTTCTGTTATCTACAGTCCATTTTTTTGGTGATATCATTTTCTATGCACAAAATTGACAAATAAGTTAGTCACTCCTATAATATAGTTGTTTGTAATTAATTTTTTTATTACAAATTACTTTGAGCGCCTTTCAAACAAACACTGAATAATTTGAAATCTAAAATACATATAATTTTTCTTTAAATGTAGTAATAATATTTAGACAATGTAGGATCCAAATATGGTGAAAACGGAATTTAGATATTTTTTCACTTCCGAAATTATTCTATGATCATGACTATTTGCACGTGCAGACTATCTAGTATCCTTTATTTCTCTAATGCCCTATCATAACTGTCCATCGTTTGGTCGAAGCCGTGAAGAAATTGAACAATCTTTGTATAACCTGTATGTAATGTAGTACTGTATATAAAGTATGCTGCAGCTTTGGATACACCTGAAAAACAGCCTGAACTCCTATCAAATTTTGCGAATGTGCGTGTGTGTGTGTACACACGGCACTAAAATTGCAAACTTACATTTTTCTTTTATTCTTGACTGAACTTAACTTTAAATAATCTTACTTTCGGGTCTGCACGTATTCCCAGTATTTATTTTGTATTTTGTTTTAAGTTGACAAGTGTAGGTTCTGATTTAGAAACTGGGATCGACTTATTTTTTAAAAAAAATGACCTGTACAGACAACCTGTACGAGTATACAATACATACATTACATTTATCATTAATTTAAATATTTTCGCATTCTGAAAATTTCTAAGGTGTAGTTAGGAACCCACCTTTTTTTTTTTAACGTGTGGAAATCCCCTCGGACCGTCACGTAGGTGGAAATAATCGTACAAAAAAATTAATAAGTAAAAAGGGGTGTTGTCAGCGTCTTTGTGGCAGCCCTGAGCAGTGACCTTATCGAATGTGATAGACAATGTGGCATTGCCAAACTTTACAGATAGGAAATGAGTAGTTCCGCGTTTCGCTAATCTAAACTTTTTTTTTTGTTGAACTGTAAATTCGCCTTGTAGTCTGTTTTTATTTTCAACTGCAGCTTAAAATTTTTGTTGGTCAATTTGATAGTAAGTAAAGATCTGAAACATATACCCAGTAGGTATTTTGCCAAACTTTTTAAGTTGGCGCAGGTAGGTTCCAATCTCTCCTATTACAGGCGCAGAGTGGCACACCGTGTGGTTTTAGTCGGTCCGAGTCCGACACACCACCCCGCCGCAAACCCCGGTGGGGTGGCTGTCCGAGGGGATTTCCACACGTTAAAAAAAAAAAGTTATCGTTGAAAAAAACGACGATGTTTCACTGATGTTTTGAGGTTTAACATCGATGTTTAAATTTTGAATTTTATGGTCGTTACATCGATGTTTTAATAAATCGATGTATCGTTATCATCTTGCATCCGTCCCTAGTCACAGTTAAAAAATAAATAAATACTACTACTAATGACTGACGAGTGACGATTAGATAGTGTTTATAAGCTGTAAATATTAAGTAAAGTACTTTAAAATGCTCGAAACAAAGATGAGTTCACATCTTTCTGGAGGCAGGCTAAACGTAGCTTTAGTCCAGGAGACAATGAGAACGGAACTATTGAACTTATTAGAACTCTATAAAGGTCCGAAGGTAACTATTTGGGATGAATGGCTAGCAGGCCCTGTAGGCTTGGTAGCTCAATATGCTCTTCTTCAAGAACACGAAGTGACAGATATGTTCCCATTAAAACCGGGTAGCTTACCAAACATATCAGTTAAACATATTGTGTTTATTGCAAGGCCTAATCTGAAGTTGATGGATTTAGTTGCTGACTACGTTCAATCTTTGCGAACCAAGCAGACCATTCCAGTAGAATTCCACTTAATCTTTGTTCCAAGGAAGAGTGAACTGTGTATTAAACATTTAACGAACATAGGAGTGATGGCTAATTTATCCATTCAAGAGTTCAAGTGTGATGTCTTCCCCTTTGAGAGTGACGTCATGTCTTTGGAGCTGCAAAATGATTTTAGAGAGAACTATTTAGAAGGAGACCCAACATGCGTGTATAATGCTGCTCAGGCACTAAGGTCTATCCAACAATTATATGGTATAATACCTCGAGTGTTTGGTAAAGGTGTTGCAGCTAAACAAGTTTGGGACTTACTCTGCCGTTTAAACAAAGAAGAACAGGGGTCAGGACCTAAAGGTTCCCCTACTTCCTGCATTGACCAGCTACTGCTTCTGGACAGAGCCATTGACTTCACCAGTGTCATGTCAACCCAACTCACATATGAGGGTCTGATTGATGAAATCTATGGTATAAAGAGCTCAACAGCCACTTTTCCTGGACACAAGTTTGTGAGCGCAGAAGACACCAATCCTGATGTTACAGCCATAGAGAAGAAACGGATCATTCTAAACTCCAGTGAAAAAATGTTCGCTGAGATCAGGGACTGCAGCTTCACAGCAGCAGGAACAGCATTATCAAAAAAAGCTCGTATCATTAAGACCCAATTAGATGAATGGCACAAAGACAAATCAGTGCAAGAAATCAAACAGTTTGTATCACTCTTACCACAGATGTTGGCTAACAAGCAGTCACTAGCTACTCACACTGCCATCGCAGAATATATCAAAGAGACCACAGATAGTTTTGACTTTCAGGACATGGTGCATTGTGAGGAAGACTTCTTGAATTGTATTGAAAATGAGAAGGTGTGTCCTTACATAGAAGATCTCATTGCTCAGAAGGAACCACTCACTAAGGTACTCCGATTAATTTGTTTGCAGTGTGTGACCAGTTCAGGTCTTAAACCCAAAGTTCTAGAATATTACAAACGCGAATTGGTCCAAGTATATGGACTAAATACTTGGCTAACTCTATGTAATCTAGAGAAATGTGGCTTATTGAGAACTCAACAAGGAACTAGGCAGTATGCTGTACTTAGAAAAGCTCTGCATCTTACAATGGATGAATCAGATATGAATACAACAGAAAACAGCTATCTCAGTAGCAAGTACACTCCATTGACTGTCCGATTGAGTGATCATATTGCTAAGAATAAAGGTTGGACAGGTATTCAAGATGTTCTAGGAACACTTCCAGGGCCAACACTTGATGTTCTACAAACACTTCAACCACGCATGGTGAATTCCATATCCAACGACAACTCTCCTTCCATGGAAAATCCCCGTGTCATCCTTGTATTCTTCATAGGGGGTTGCACTTACCAAGAAATATCAGCATTGAGGATTCTTAGTCAACAGGAGGATTCAAATGTAGAATTTGTTGTATTGACAACTAAACTTATCAATGGAACAACTTTCCTTGAATCCTTGATGGAAAATGAATAGTTACCAACTTGGAACTCCTAAGAGATTATATTGTTTGATTTTTGGAATATAATATATTATGTTATTGTTTATAAGCTTGCTTAATTAGATACATTTCAGCTGAATTTATTTAATAAACTGTCACTACTGCAACAGAAGGAAGCCTCTCCATTTTTTGAAGTTCACTGCACAGATGGCAATAGTTTAGGCGGTCACTTCTCCACTTCCTACTGTTCAATATGACAACACTGTGTGATCCACATATTGTGAAGATAAAAAAAGAAAAGAAAGACAATAAGATTAACAAAGAGAATAAAATAATAACTTTTTTCATATTTTTCATCATCATCATCATCAACAGCCTATACTAGTCCACTGCTGGACATAGGCCTCTCCTTAAATATATAATGATAATATAATATATATATCCTTATATTTTTAAAAACATATAATGTATTGGAGAGCAGCTGTTGGTGGTCTATTTTTTATATTTTTAAATATGTATTTTTTTCCTTTCTTATATATTTAAAAATATAATTAATATGAATACGTACATAAATTGTAATAAAGATAATAAATATAAACCGACATCGACATTACACATGCTATGGTAACGAGACAGCTGATAAACACTTAAATAATAGGGGGTTAAAGTATGAAATTGCCATTGTAGAGTAATAGATACTTTGAATTGACATATAACCAATGGTGTGAGATTTTCGTGTGAAACTTTTTTCATATGGTTCTTCTTTTAAAAAATTGCAAATTCGATTTTCGACTTTTAATTGTTTTTTTATTTAGCATTGTCAGTTTTAGGGTTCCACACCTCAAAAAGAAAAAACGGCACCCTTATAGGATCACTTTGTTGTCCATCCGTCTGTCCTTCTATCAGTCTGTCAAGAGCCTTTATCTCAGGAACGCGTGGAGGTATCGAGTTAAAATTAAAACGATATAAGTACTCAGGTACAGTCTCTTGAAAATGTGAAAAAATTTAAACTTGTAAGTTAACGTAAAAAGAAATACGTCCGTTTATGCTGCAAAAAACTGAGACACTCGCGGGAATCACAATTTATAGGGTACTTTCCGTTTACCTAGAACTTCTGTCTTTTACTACAAGTATAAAGAAAAACCAGGAAACTTTATATTTGGAATTAAATCATAAAAAAACGGTCCTAATGCAAGGACAGTCAGTCCAAATTTTGAATTGAGTTAACCGTGTTATGTGGGGTATCGTATGACAGGGCTTCATTGGCACAATCATAAACAGATTTTTAATTATTTTTATGATGAATAGTTTTCGATTACAAATTTGTACGAAACCCTCGGTGGGCGAGTCCGACTCGCAGTTGTCCGATTTTTTTAAATACGAGTTCTGACGCGTTTAGGTGAGGAGGCTGCCAATGAACGTTTGTGCGTTTATGTGAGTTTTTGAAACTTCGACTTGAAGAATGAACCACGTCGAAGACCGCCCACACAGGTGAATAACGCTGAATTGAACTAGATGGTGAAAACCGATCCGAGTCAAACTACCCAGGAATTAGCGGCATGTTTTAATCTTACCCTACATACAATATTGACTTATTTACATCAAATCAATAAGATAAAGAAATAAAAAAATGGGTGCCTTAAGATTTGACTGATCTGCACAAAGAAATGCGTGTTAAAACTTGTGTTGCTTTGTTGAATCGGTACAGGAATGAAGGAATATTGGATCGAATTATGACATGTGACGAAAACTGGATTGTTTACGATAACCGTAAGCGAAAAATGTAATGGCTGACCCCAAGTCGAACGCCGCAACAGTGCCCTAAATCAAAGCTTACCAATGAAAAAGGTAATGGTAACTATTTGGTGGTCTCTTCATGGTGTTATTCACTATAGCTTTCTCAGATCTGGTCAGGCAATAACAGCAAACGTTTACTGTGCCGAACTTCGAACAATAATGGCGAAACTGGCAGTGAAACAGCCCCGACTCGTTAATCGATTTTCACCATTATTGCTTCATGATAACGCAAGACCTCACACTGCACGAGAAACCGTTGTAACTGTTGCCGCTGCCGTTAGAAACCATACGTCATCTTCTGTACTCGCTAGACCTTGCTCAAGATATATTATGATAGATATAAAATTTACTACCATTTTTTTTTATTTGGACAATTTCCTACGTCATAAAAAATGTTTTTCCCAGGAGGCCGGGGTGGCGGCGAGCGCGTTGCGAAGCGCGCTCGCTTCCAGGGAGCAGAGGGAACATGGGGTTCCCACACGCGGGGGGGGGGGTCTTCTACTTGGCCCGAGGTATGTCGGGGCACCAGGGACTTCCTTTCTAGGGTATACCTGGTTCCCCGGCTATTAGTACCCGAGACGGCGTGCGGTTATAGTTGGTTCGAGTCTGACATGCCACCGGTGGTATCCGAGGGGATTTCCGCACGAAAAAAGTAAAATAAAGAGGAGGTAGTACAAAATGCTTTCACACAGTTTGTCGAACCTACCGAGAGGTTGAAAGTTTGTTAAAAAAACTTTAAGGTCTACTTTTTTGGTCAAGCATGAGTTGTTCATAAAAAATAATAAAATTGTCAAATTCATTTTAAGATACGAAGCAATCCTGTTTCTTGCAAGAATTACTGCATTCTTTGAGACGAACGAAATAGGATCAGATAGTTGAAGGAAAGGAAGTTGGTCATAATTAGTGAAATAATTTTCCATGCAAATTTACCTCAGACTAGTTACACTATCAAAACTGATGGTTCAATGTTTTGTGTTGTATAAGATAAACCGAATCAGTTACTAACAAGAAAAATAATAAAATAATATATACACACAACATGTACCGATATAAAACCGTTAAGAATGTTGTTTATAAAGAAATGTTCAATCAGCTTCTACTTTTAAATATATGATACTAATTGATTCTTTATATGTTCTACGATATCTCATGTCAGCGACCACGCGAACGAAGCAGCGGGCAAAAGCTAGTTAAAAAAAAAACTTTTGGTAGGTAAGTACCTATTTAATTTGCTAAAGGTAGCTATTGTATTTTATAACTTTTGCTGTCCTGTGGAAGTGCAAAAAGCGTGAGTCATAAAATAATTAATAATAATAATATATCTCACACATGGCCGTCTGATCCCAAACTAGGCAGAGCCTGTACTATGGTAACCAGACCGCTGATAAACATACGTCTTATATATTTTTAAATACATACATATTATAGATAAATTAAATTTAAATAAAAATACAATTAAATTTAATTAAAAAAAATTACACATTTTTGTTTCGTAGTATTTACTAAGTAGTGTGTATAGTTTTTATGTGTTCAAGTGACTAAAGAACGACTCGAGAGCTTTGAACTAAAGTGCCAGCGCGAAACAGCCAATTGTACAATGGGGACGTTGAAACGCGGCGCCAATATAATTGTGTAGGACTGCTACTACCCATTTTTTTGATAATATTGATAATACTAATAAATTAAATATAAACTTATTGTGTAAAAGTTTTAATTTAACTTGCAGAATCGAATGCCAAATTAACCTTCGGCGAACCGTTCATTGGTAATCTATAAATACATTCCGTTTCCAAAAAAAAACAACTTCGGACGAAGGGTGTTTTCAACGAACAATACATCGATGAAGGTTGATTCGGCATTCGATTCTCAGCTCAAGCTTTAACTTGAAACATCTCTTGGTTAGAGTCAAATTTTCCAAATTACTATAGAACTAAAGCTACTTCTGTAATGCGATGGGGCTGATTTTTTTTTAATGTGAAGACAGGTCCTATTAGAATATATTTGGTTCCAAACAAGCGAATTCCTCAATAGCAAAGATTTAATAATTATGACAGGTCTGACCCCTCAGGTCTGAATCAATAACGTCTTTTATATTATTACGTTATAAATCAAAAAAATTATAAGTATGAGATTCTTTTTTTTTGTCTTTTGGAACAAAACCCACTCCGTGTATGATCTGCAAACTAAATTAGTATTAGTGGTAGTATTTATGATGTAACAAATTAATTAGTTTATAGAAGTTATTTTTTCCATGTACTTTTCGTATTTGTTTAAAAACTTTTTCTATAACAAAATTATATGTGAATGCCAATATCCTAAACATAGAAACTATGTTTTATAATTAATTATGTAGAGTTACCTACCTACTAATCAGTACCTATGCAATCGACCAATTCGACAAATAACATGTAGGTAGTACTGTACTATTCTTTCCGTTTCCGTAACGCAACAAACGTCATTTTTGAGGTTATTTCCTACGTCATTTAGGGCATAGTTAAAATGTGTTGAGGTTTGCCGCATTAGAAAGAGATACATTTATGCTCCTTACGCTTAGAGTAACAAGACACTAAATTTTATGTCATTTGGCACGGCTTTTGTGTGAAGTTGACTTCTCTTTGGCATCTTACTTTCACGAGTAGATAGTAGATGAATTAATATTTCATGTGAGAATATTCCAAGAAAACGCAATCATGAGTTATTCGAAGTTTGATTTAACATTTAAGATAGGTCAATATCTTGACCGACACTTAGTGTTTCCATTACTGGAGTTTTTAGCTGCAAAAGAGGTAGGTTATAAAAGTAAATTACCTTATTGCAATTTCAAATATATGTTACTCTCTAGTCTTAGCTGAGGTGTACTATTATTTCCAGACGTATGACCAATCGGAACTCTTGCAAGCCAAGCTAGAGATCCTCAGCAAAACTAACATGATAGACTATGTTATAGACATCAGAAAAATGCTTTATCTTGATGAGGATACTCCTGAGGTATGTTACAAATCTTTTCCTTACTAGAATAAATATTGTTTAGCTACATTATTATATTTGTGTTAATAGATTATAGATACTATTTTATTTTGTACCCTAGCATTTGTTTAATTTATTTTGTTTACATATTAAGGGAACAAGATTGCAGTAAGACAGATACATAAGACAATTTTAATTAGGTTTTTGCAGATGTTTAGAGAGGGAATCAATCAGATAATAAATAAGTAAGTATGAACAGTGTAAAGCATTTGCATTTTAGGAATTGGTAAACATCTGTTATGATGATGATGATTTATGAGAATATTTGTGTGTTTATTTAGTTTATAAAACAATTTAGCATGTATTCAATCATAATATAATTGCCATATTAAAAGTTTTTATTTGTTTACCTAAAGTAAATATAATTTTGTTTATTAATAGGATATTAAATCCAGAAGGGGGATAGTTCTTTCCCAATTACAAGAGCTCCAAGATGCAGTAGAACCGGTGCTGAGACTTATGCAGAGAGATGATGTTATGAAGACTGTTGAGACCATGAGGGATCCTAAAACTCTTATTAATCACCTGACTACTAATAAGGAATTTGAGGTAATACTTGTTACACTTTTATGGATTTGGGGCTAACGAGCAGATGGCTTACCTGAAGGTAAGTGACTACCGGCACCCGTAGATACCTGTAACCAGTCCTTCCCCCAGAAGGTTAGGGTTTGGGCCCCGGTAACCACACCTACTTGGTGAAAACTAATGATTGAACTGTTTTACCACCACTGTTCTGTGAGGCAGTGGTATTACTCCAGCCTGACCCATATGTGCCGAAGGATCGTTCTCCCATGATATTAGTATGACTCTTCTTAAAAAAAATGTTTTGCACCACATGTAATTATTTTAATGTTATTTATTTACTAAATAAAAAACTTCATTACACTTCCCTTTATCAGTTCATTTTTTAGTTTATTTGACTAGAAACAACTGTTTGAAAAGATTACCTGCAGTGGGTGGTAATTTTTTTCTTCCCAGCATCTATATTATGAGTTACTCTACTCTACTCTACTGTAAAACTTTATCTTTTTATTTATATACTTCACAGAGGCAGACTTACTGCCAAAGTCATGCTCTTTCAGTCTACTTTAGGGTGATAAAGAAATGATTCCTTTGTTTCTATAATGACATATCACAAGAGGAGAGGCCTTTGCTTTAAACAATATGCAATCAGGTCTTTAATACTTGGTCCTAAAACTATACACATTAACTGTGCTCTAATATTTTGTAATTAATCATAATTATCTTATTTTCAGTTCAAAGTGGAGATGATCGATAGCATGTATCGTCTGGCCAAATACCGATATGAGTGTGGTAACTATGTGGAGTCAGCCTCATACCTCTATTTCTGTCAGCTAGTGATGTCTCCTACTGATAAGGTAAGCTAACACTTAACTTTTAAAAGATATATCAAAAAAAAATGGTAGGGCCAAAACTATTAAATAAGTTAAGTATGATAGTAATTTGTAAAGTCAATGTTAACAAAAGTGTGACAATTTGCGCAAGATGGATGGCAGGAGCTGGATGCGAGAAGCCCAAAATCAATCTAAGTGGCGTGCAATGAGCTCTCCCATATCACGCCACTTAGATTGATTATGTCCGGCAGTGGACTACGGTAGGCTGATGATGAGTCAATGTAATTATATGGAGGTGTATGAGCTGAAGCCAGCACCTACTAGATGTAAACTTGTACCCAACTTAATCCCGACTTGTAAAAAATATCTGAAAAGATTTACCTGTAGAAATAAATATCATTTTTGATTTTAAGAGTAATAGGTTAAGTTATATTACTAGGAAAATTACAATTTAAAAAAGCCACAAGAGATTAATAATTATCCAAATTATGATAATTATACAAAACAAGTTTGCTGGTTGATGCTGCTGTAATTTCACACCATTGCGTAATATTCAAGTCATTGTATACATACATAAATGCATAAGCTATTCTTGCTATATGTTATTCTTATATAGGCAGACACTAGAGTGGCCACTTTCCAAGATCTAAACTGTTCACTGATACTTGCTCTCTAGAGGCATCTTATACTTGATTTATACCTTCTTAGTCTTAGATGTTTTAAACTGTTCACCAATAGAGAGTGATTCAAGGGGAAGGTTTATATGTATAATACATGCATATTATCGTGAATCTTAAATATATGTCTTAAAAAACATGTTTTTGTGCGCTTACATTGCAAACACTGGCTAAATTTTACGAGATAGACCAAAATAATGTCCTAGGGAATTGTATATCTTAAAAAGATCTACGAAAAAGACCGCGATGGTACATGTCTATCTCCTAAAGCTAACCCATTACCAATTTTCATCTTTTAAATATTACAAAAAGATAATGGGTTATTTACAAAGCTATTTTAAGCAATACAATGTTATTATTATTTTTATTTTAGCATAGACATTATATCAGTTATTTTAAGAGTTACCATAGAGCATTTTAGGTAGATTCATATCTCTGTCAGTATTATTGATGGTGAATGTATCAACCAATGCACTATAATTGACCATAATCATTTTGGGGGCCAATGTACAGTACAGTGCTTAAGATTTCAAGGCTGCATTTCTTTATATACTCAACTGCCTGCAGACAAATAATAGTTAAAAATGTGATTTTATATTTAATTGAAAAGAAATACACTTATTGCTGTTCCTGCATGTTAATATCTTCATTCTCGTTTTCAGCAGACATACAATAGTTTTGATCATTGAAGTTTTTTTCTTGCTGAAAATAAATTTAGAATCATTAAAATTGTTTTTAGGATCATGTACGTTTTCTGTTAAAAAGGCTTATAAAATTCGTTCAGCCTTTGGATGTTATTAACTAAGGTTTATTTTTAACTGCTTTCATAAAATGGACAGGTTCTTAAATTTAATTTTCTTGTGTTACGCAATATCTTGCCCAACAATGAAACATTCAGAAATTCTTATTTTAATTGAATTGGTTATACTTAGGTTGGTGCCATTTACATTTTGAAGATAATATTCCACCACAAAGGGTAGATAATTATGATGATGTGATGTTACAAGGATTTATAATCAACTATAATCCACTAATTTTTCAAAGATACATACCATTTGGTATTGCAAAGTAATGTCGTGTTTTGGATGGTATTGATTCTTGTGTGCTAGTAGTGGTGCTACTGAAGGATACCAGGTCCCACACATTTCACATTGGTATACTAGAACACCTATAGATTTGATACTGTATGGATTGCAATGAGTCTTGGTCATGAAGTGGCCCACTTTGTATCTGTAAAGTAAATATAGAAGTTACTATATTCAAATGATATGTTCAAAACAGTACCAAAAAAGTTGCTTCGTGTCATGAGGACCATTAAAAGACGCTTTTCACTGTCTATAATGCTCTGAGGCACATTTGACACTTTGAATCTCAACAAAAAATAATAATTTTAAAAGTTGAAAAATTTAACGTTATTAACATATTTGTAGGCATTTCACTTACCTATGGTTGTACAACTGTTCATAATTCCTAAACTTACGGTCACACGCATTACAGAGCAACAGCTTTGGTAAAGAGAAACTGTAGTACATTTTCAACCATGGACATGATACAAAATGCTGCTCAGCTCTCTTATATGACGAAAATGCCATTTCACATGCATTACACTCGTAATTATTATTTGTTGTATGTAATTTAGAATGCCTTAGTAGTCTAGGAATGCTTGTGTACACTTTCTCACAAAATTCACATTGCAGTAAAGAAGATGTCTTAATCTCTCGGACACATTCTCGGTTATTGGACTTGCAACATTCATTCGAATGATTCAATGCTTGGTCTTGGCGCGGCCACACCTGAAAACATTGTATGCATGTCCACACCACTTGCCAACGTGGTTGAACTTCAGACATTGCATGACGCATAGAATAATGTCTCCTCAAACCAGTTTCATACACAAAACATTTTCCACAAGTGTCACAGTGATACGTTCTCATTGACTTTCGGCAAACAATGTCAAGGATCTCTTTATTTTTTGTATAGTTTAATGTCCTGTTCAGCATTTGTATGTTTTCCATAATACGTGCATTGTTTTCTTTTACTTTCTCGAGACTGTATTCTAAAGGACTTAAGTAATCGCTTGTCTCTAAATTGCATTTATCTTGAAGAGAATATTGCAGGGATACATTTCCTTGATAACCAGTTGATTCATTATTCATTACACTTCTACCCGTTGTAACCTCATTATGGTAATAATATGTGCTGTGACCAGATCCATCGGATTTATAAAATAATTTATGCAATGGTTTCAATTGCATTGAACATTCTGTAAAATTTGCTATATTTTTCACCGCAGGATCTATCTCTTTCGCACTAGACTCTAAGTTAAATTTATCGAATTCATGTCCAGAAATTATTTTTACTACTAAACGCGACGCCTTCTCAGGATCTTTTTTTTTCTCATGTTCTTTGCCGTCCGACCAATCACCGTACTTTACTTTAGAATTACTGTTATCAGGGTCTTCAATCGTAACTTGTAAAGATTGAAATTTAACTCCTCCAGCCTCGAATTTATTAATTATTAATTTAAGAGCTGACATCTTTGTGAAGGTAATGACAGCAAATGACGTTAGTTTATTTTTTATATAGCTTGACAGCTAAAATGTCTTTTTTCGAAATGAGGTCGTGTATCCGATCGTTGTCCTGATAATCTGATATTCTTATACAAGTACTTGTATTAATACTAAATACATTATGAGAAATTTTAAAATTTCAGAATTACCTGCCTGTATTGTGGGGCAAATTGGCTAGCGAAATTTTGGTGCAAAATTGGGATGGCGCCCTTGAAGATTTGACCAAATTGCGTGAATTTATTGATAATGGTGGCGCTGGCGCCACTGCAAGTAATATGCAAGCACTCCAGCAACGCACCTGGCTTGTGCACTGGTCGCTGTTCGTGTTCTTCAATCACGTGAAGGGCCGAGACCTCATCATTGAAATGTTTTTATACAAACCCTTGTAAGTTGTGTTCATATTGTTTATTTTATGACTAATAGTATGTAAAAGTACAAAATATTATTTTTCTCTTCCTTTTCTCTTTTAGATATCTGAATGCTATTCAAACTATGTGCCCACATATTCTACGCTACTTGGCAACCGCCGTCATTATCAACAGGTCCCGGCGTAATGCTTTAAAAGATCTCGTAAAAGTTATACAGCAAGAAGCATACACTTACAGGTAAATACAATCATTTTTCCGTATGTATTACTTTTACATCAATTGAATTTTATAATTCGCTTTTGCTCACTGCTCCGGTCTTACAAAAGTGAAGTGTCTATCCTCGGGTTTTTTTTCTACATAAATGGAATTGTACTTATTGAAATGTCCTGGGCAACGTGTATTCAAAACTTCATGTAAACGGGACGGCAGCGTATAAAACAACAAACATTAATTAAAAAAATATATATTTAATAGGGTAGTTGACTCAATTTAAAAACTTGGTTAATTATATACTTTAATATCTATTTTATCCCCAAAAAAACTATATTTTAAAGAAAAAGCAATATTTACATTACGTATTATGTATTAAAAAAAAACAATTCAAATTTCCCTTGAAAACGCTGAATAGTGTCATGGCGTCTTGAATGACGTCACAGTCTGCGAAACAAAAGTGTTTACATCTGTGTCCAGTGTCAACTGAAACTGTATTGGTATAAGGTGAGAAAATATGCTGAAAACGAAAAATAATAAGGAGTAACCTGCTCAGTTGTATGATAACGTCAACAACAACAATGATGTTTTGCGTGGCGTGACGTAACACTTTGTGATTGTGACTTAATGCCTATTTTGTTCTAATTTATTTTAGAAAATATTAATAATCTTTAACTTTTATAAGAAATAGACTTTTTTTTTCTCATCTATGTCTCTTCATTTGTAATTTGAAACCATAAACCAAGAAATTTGTTATTAGTGGACACAAGCCTATTTATACATATTGTTTTATTTTAACTAAAATCGCTAAACTAATAAATTGTAGGTGCATTCTGTAGGGCAGTATAGAACAGAAACTGCTGCTGTGCCACTTATGCAACATGATGAAACTGCTGAAATCAATTTAAAAATTAATCTGTTTCATTTTATTGATGTTTTCATCTGTAAGTGCAAATAAATAAAATAAACCGCTCAGTAACATTATTACATTAAAAAATCTGCAACATGGCTAAAGCATAAAACTCAAAATTTAAACTTCTGGGACAAATAATTGCATTTTACCAGGACAGGATTTGGCCTGGCCTGTCTCAAGTTATGAAATAATTATTATTATAATTTTCCTTATTGATATTATGTCATTAATGTGAATTCGAAAAAGTTCTGATCAAGTTTTATTATCTGGTTATTACCTTATTTTTATAATTGATTCAAGATTGTATTTGATAACATATTATTCTACTTTTAGGGATCCAATCACAGAATTTATTGAGCACCTGTACGTTAACTTCGACTTCGAAGCTGCACGCAGAAAGTTAAATCAGTGCCAAGCAGTACTCTTAACAGATTTCTTTTTGATAGCGTGCCTAGAAGAGTTCGTTGAAAATGCTCGTCTTATGATTTTTGAGACTTTCTGTCGTATACATCAAGTTATCAGTATTGGGTAAGTAGATGATAAAAGAAGATATTATTAACTTTTTAGTTTAAATATATGTACTTTACAATCATCGTCATCATCACCCTACCGCAGTCCAATGCTGGACATAGGCCTCTCTCATTGCACGCTACTTAGATCGATTAAAAATCCAAAATAAAAATTAAATATGACGTATTTCAGAATGTTAGCTGAAAATTTGAATATGCAGCCTGATGAAGCAGAGTGCTGGATCGTGAATTTAATCCGTAACGCTCGCCTAGACGCCAAGATTGACTCCAAGTTGGGTCATGTAGTGATGGGTGCGCAACCGCTGTCGCCATATCAACAACTTGTGGAGAGGATTGACTCTCTGGCTGTGCGCTCTGAAGCCCTAACGTCATTAGTTGAGCGCAAGCAAAAAACCCGCAACCAAGACGTAAGTTAAACTGGAATATCTGTATGTATACAATAAACACTAGCTTGTGCCCACAGCTTCGTTACTGTTGATTTTGTCTATACATTTTTAATTGATGAAAAAATAGCCTATGTGCTTTTGCAGAATATAATCTATCTCTGTAAATTTCAGCCGTTTTGATGTGATTGAGTAACAAACATTCATACTTGTATCCTCGTAGTTTTTCACCTTTGTAATAAAACTCGCAACTCGCTGAAATTGCAAGACGAAAACTAGTTAATAAATAAAAACTTGTAATAATCACAATCAATGAATTACTTTATTTTAGAAAGATTTATTGACATATTCTGAACTGTGTGTGTTACTTATAAAACAAGCTTAAGCTCATTTTGAATAGTTTAGATTTCTACACACACAATATTACAAGATACACCTACAAGATTTCTACACCACCTAAAGGTTGGCTGGTAGAGAATGCGCGTGGCATTAAGTTTGCCTATGTACATAAGTGCATGAAAATGTAAAATAAAATAAATAATTTACTAGAATTCTAGTGATAACTTATGTTGTGTTTTATACACATACATATTATTATGATATTTGCCATTCGTCAGCATTATAGGTTTTTTTTTTATTCCAGATCCGTTGGGGAACCCAAGAATTTTAGTTGCATGGTGAACTAAGTCATTTTCCTATCATAAGGAAGAATAGTTTCAAAAGCAACGTCAACTTCGGCCCATCCACGAAGCATTTTTATTAAATATACATATTTATAAAGAGGTGTCTTTTGTTATTAAAGTCTATATTGTGTTAACTCGTTATAAGTCAGACATAAGAACGATGTTAAAAAATGATTAATTCCTACCGTCATTTAACACGACCTCCTCTGACGCCCAGGCGTGCATCTGGAAGATGTTAACGCCGGATCAAGAAAATGTTGGACAACAAACTTACCTAATTAGTTCGTTAATAACGTTCTAGGACTAATTAGGTAAGGTCGTTGCTTACTTTGAAACATGCCTCACTGAAAAACAAACATACATGAGAAACTCGATTGAGTCATTTGGCAAAATCAAATTTGATGTTGCCTAACTCCTAATTGCATAAAGCAACACAGGCCACCGGCAGACCAGCGGGGAGTAGCCATAGCGTCTTTTCGCGATACAAAATCGTCTGTCATTTTTTGCCGGAGGAATCTTCACCACACACACTTATTCTCGGACTCCCATCAAAAACACTGACTGTCACTACGCGACTCACACAACAATTAAAACAACACATTAACAATTTCACACACACACATACACATTGTGTAATGAAGTGATGCACTACATAGACATGTTGCAAACAATCGTGACTGTAACAAATATCGATACGCAATATCAATAAATTCGAGAAGTCGGTTAAGAAAATCAGGTTTAACAGTGATATTAATATTAAAATAACGCTCACAATCCACATAATTAAATAATAATAGTTTATTATTTCTCTCTCACATAGCTACAAAATCGCATAAATTAAGGTTAATCTAGATATATATTTGCTACTTTGTGGGAGACTGGCATCTGTACTGTGTGACAGATTAGGTACCAATTATAGTAGTATATAAGAAAATATAATCTCAGAAATGATAATATGCACGAAAGACGGATGTATTTGTTTTATCGATATCTAACTATTTACAAACCGGTAACAACACTCGCTCGGTGATAGCGATAAGCAACATGACACTCGGATTGGTCCCTCGACCGAGCCGAATATTGTATGAGAGCGAGCGGCGTGTGTTGGTAAACAAATCCAAAACAATACAACTGTTATTTTTGTAAATTTTAAGTTTAAAAAGGAGTAAATAGTAATGAATTTATTAGAAATTACATATAAAAGGTAACGCCATCTTTTTGTAAACTTAACGTGGCAGGTCTCCTTTTGAAGCAAAAAACTGAACGATTCGGCATTTTTGTAGGGTGGCTACTGTTGCACCAGGGACTTCCTTTCTAGGGTATACCTGGTTCCCCGGCTATTAGGACCCGAGACGCGGCGTGCGAGGCGTGCGGTTTTAGTCGGTTCGAGTTCGACATGCCACCGATAGGTGGTATCCGAGGGGATTTCCGCACGGAAAAAAAGGCTACTGTCGTCTACTATTGGACATTGATGCTAATTAGATTTAATCTCATTAATTGCGAATTCCATTTTCAGGTCCATTGTCTGGAAAACCAATTTATGTCTTAGCATGTTAATTGCTAATGCTAATATTGCAATTTTGTACGAGGAGAGCAAATGAAAAATTAATTTTACATAAATAACGTATTTTTATTATATTTTTACGGCTTCTATTTTATTTTCTAAAACATTATTACAGAAATAATGCAATATAGGGTTTGTTGGCAATATGCTAGCCTTCGTCACTTAACACTATCTATTCACAAAATACCTATTTACAACGTACACGTCACACTCTTCAAAACTTAAATTACCTATACCTACTCTATAATTAAACTTCTTATTAACAGATACTATATAGTAGTGATGAAATAATTAGTCTTCACACTCATATTTCATTCTAAATTCTTAATCAGCATTTAGCAGTTAGGATTTATTGTAGTCGTGAAATTTGGTGAACTTATAAATTTATACGTAGGTATACGAAATTTCATCGCTTCATTCGTTAGCGCTTCACATTCACACAGCGCGTGCTTTCCCATTCGCATCAACGCAAAGACTAAATTTAATTTAATAAATCTGCTAAAACTGTATCTTTTAAACAGTATCTTTTGGAAACCTGATAAATAACATACTTTTATATAAAAATTAATTGGTATGAAACAAAAATGATTGAGGTTGGAATTAAACTTACGTGTTCAGAGGAGAGTAAACCTCTTTGCATTGAAAACAATGCTTAATATTTTGTTTGAATTTACAGCTTTTCATTAAAAAGAGTTTACAGCTTGACAAAAAAAAAACAACTCAGTATTCCATTAACCCCTTGTATTCTCCAGCCAACTCCCTCTATCTCTCTCCACTAGAAAGAGATAGAGGTAACTATGTAATCTAGCTGCCATCTTTCTTGTTGCTTTTATTGCAAGATGGGGCTCTTGTTCACTCTATGCTGATATCTCTATGGTCAAAATAGATAATGTTTTATAGCATTGAATATAGTGATGTGCCGGATCGTTAACAAAGTATATCCGCGGATACGGATCCGAATACGGATATTTGGTGTCAAGATCCGCGGATACGGATACGGATACGGATCTTAAGTTTCTTACTCAATCGGAGCCCGTGACCTTGGTAGTTGTCGCCACTTGACGCTTTGCCGTTGATACTCGTATTTAAATATTGCAAAGATGTTTGATTGATCTCATTATAAAGATAGCTCTTTCAACACCTACGACCTGCCTAGTTGATTTAGTGTAGTACGATAAATGATTGCAATACAAAGGTGCCAAATATTTGTTTTAAGAAATAAAAAGTAATCTGAACAGAATTCAATAGTTTTTCATAGCTACCTAATAACAATTATTCAGGGTTATTTTAAATTTACTGAAAACCTCTGAAGTGCATATTAGTAACATTATAAACAACAACTTTTCTTCTGGACTAACACCGAAATTGAAAGAAAAAAATTGTTTCTCCATACAAACTAACAACATTTGATTGGTCATTTGAATGGAGGACCAATTTTTTTTTATTTTGACGTTGGCAAGAAAAAAAAGTTGCTGTTTATAAACACATACCTAAGAGTTTTACAGTGAATACAAGTTCACCTATATAGAATTTCATCTATGTAATATGTATTGAAAGATCCGCCAAAAAAGTCACGGATACGGATACGGTTACGGATCTCTCTTCTCCCTTGGATATCCGCGGATACGGATACGGATACGGATATCCGGCACATCACTAATAGAATATAAGCTTATATATCTATGTTTTACACTCTTTGCTCATATGCATAGGTTCATAGTATTAGTGTATTATCTATATAATATAATTATGATTGTCTGTAAACAACGTACTGGATATTGATATTTTTTGATATCAGTATCAATCATTTCCACGTAGAAACCATATATTTTTGTTTACGATAGAAACCACCATTTATTAAATAATTCCTGTCTGATTTTATCCTTAATGTTGCATTTGAAACCATTGCACTATTCACAATGATACTTTAAAATAAATAGTAAAACCAATGAAATTGTAAAAACTAAATTTAAAGTGAAGTTGGGCAGTAGATACATAATACTGTACATATAAACCATGTCCAGTAGTATCATTCGTATCCTGACTGTCCCCGTGGGTGTTCATAATGGATTTCTAAAAAGGTAAGATTACTGCTATAATATTTTCATTTTATACAAATCACGTAGGACAAGGTTATTATTCCGGTTTAGCCAAGTGCTTATTCTATAAATCATGAAATAAGGAGTAGAAGTTTTGCGTGTACATATCTTACGTTTTAATTTATGCCTTGCCTACATATTTGTACCAACTTACTTGATACCGAGACAATTTTAGTAAGTTTACATAATATTAAAAAAGTTTTGTGTTCTGTTGTTTCTACAACCAGTGGTGTTTTTAAAATTCGGCGCCACTGGTAATATGGTAATAGCCACCAAGTACCTGCGTATACCTTAGTTAGAGGTAGGTATATTCTATATCTTTAACTAACGTAATAGGTTAATCATACCTCGGCCGTTGTCTGTGTCCTCTGATATTTATGATGCTTAGAGAAAAGCGAGAACAAAAAATGTATTTAAAATAAGTTAGTCTTTAAGTTGCCAAATTCAGTTGGTACAAAAATGTACTAAAGTAATTTTTCGCCCTCCTGGCTAAATAAAAATGTAATCAAGATTTTTCCCTTCTTCCACCAAATACCAATGGAAAGTCACATTATTATAACCATACCTACTTGGTTACTTGTTGCCACGAAATCCGTCATATGCGCGGATGGAGCCGCGGGCAAAAGCTAGTAACAAATAAAGTATGGGGTCTACCAATAAGAACGTCCTGGTTTAAAAATTGAATAAAACACACAATTTTTTATGAAAAATGCATCCGATTGATTTATTTGACAGATAATTTTATGCAATTTATGTTTTAAATAATATATCGGCCAAATGACCGCCGCGGCTCTTTTTGCAGACGGTCGTGAGCGGGTCACGCCAATTTTCGATGACGCGGTGCACCATTTCGGCCGGTATGTCGGCTATGGCTCGTCGAATGGTGGTTTTTAGGTCACGAATTGTAGCTGGATTATGTACACTTTAGATTTAACGCAACCCCAAAAAAAATAGTCTAAAGGTGTTAAATCACACGATCTTGGTGGCCAACTGATCGGTCCATTTCTCGAAATTAACGACTCACCAAACTTTCCACGCAATAATTCCATGTTCACTCGAGTAATGTGAGGTGGTGCACCGTCTTGTTGAAAATAAAGATCGTCTGCATCAATATCATCAAATTCCGGAAAGAAATATTCGGTTAACATCGAGTTATAGCGCTCGCCATTCACAGTAACAGGGTTTCCTTCGTCACTTTCAAAGAAGTACGGACCAATGATTCCACCGTACCATAAAACGCACCAAACTGTTATTTTTTGCGGATGCAATGGTGATTCATGAACCACACGTGGATTTGGCTCACTCCAATAGCAACAATTTTGTTTATTAACAAATCCATTGAGCCAGAAATGGGCCTCATCTGAGAAGATGATTTTACGATGAAAATCGTCATCGGCTTCCATCATTTCCGGTGCATAATCGGCAAATTCACGACGGATACAATGGTCGGATGGCTTCAATTCTTGTGCCAAAACAGTTTTGTATGGGTGTAGGCCCAAATCCAAAAAATATGCCAGGTGGTCATTGGAGAGAGCCCCAACTCTTGTGAACGGCGTTGAACTGATCGATTTGAATTCGCATCAACACTGGCCTGAACGGCTGCGATATTCTCTTCACTACGGGCATTTCTTTGTCTCACAGCAGTATCGTGGAGAGTAAATTCACTTACAAAGTTATTATGCGATTTATAGCGCGCACAGAAGGAGCACTATGACGACCGTTTTTACTATAGCTGTAGGAGAACGCGAATTTGCGTAATAATTTTGGAGAATTTCCAAGCGTTGGTTTAAAGTGAAATGTACATGATAAAATGGCAAACATTACTGAACACAAATGTCAAGAGACGTCAAAGATCCATCATCAAACATGGCCGCTATGAGCTGTCAAAACTAGGTCATCCCTATTGGTAGACCCGTTACTTACATAAGAAAAATGTAGATTTAATGTAGTATACATTAAGTTTAGGTTTCGGTCGAAACAGACCGAACATTCGTTTCTTTTCAAAACTCATAAAGAATAACTCAGTTTTGAAATGTAGATAGCATCAAAGTTTAAATAAAACCTGCTAACGAAATCGATCTTTCTACAAGTTCTGATGAGCATAGATTTGTGTTAAATTTTATAGTTTTCATAAATAGCTTTCTAAAATGATTTTTGTATTGTTTTTTGTTATTTTTCGATGTTACAAATTACGTAGATTACTAATTAAATTTATGAGTATGGAATTGCATCAGGAGCCTTAACTACAAAATACCTCATCATTAAGTATTTGAATAGGAATATACATCACGTACTCCTGGCTCCTATGTCCCAAAGGAGCCGGAGATCCAAAGGGATTTTCCACCCCCCCTCAACAAAAAACAGTATGTGAATCCGTATCGATTACAAAATACGTATTTGAAGTTGAAAAATTCATTTCAGTTAGCATTGAAATACCTAGTATAGGTGTGCATATTATTATGTGCATAATGTTGATAATTTGGTCAATGTTATTTTATTTCAACTTGCCTTTATTTTTTTCAGTACCTAATATTTTAATATTTTACAGCAACATTGCATCGTATGCGACAAGGAAGAAAAATAAAAAATTGTATATACAAGGAATCTTCAACCATAGTCCTATGTGTTGGAAGTTAAAATACTACAATACAATTCTCTTGAATCAGATTTACTTAAGTATTTTTTTCGAAGAGTTGTTTGGAAAGACTCAACTTTTATTCTTCAACAATCTTCGTGCTTTTCACCTAGTCTTAGCTGTTGGGTAAGTAAACTGTTTTGTGACGCTTTTTGTTTCTTGACTAGGGCTTTTCGTAGCTAGAGCTTTTTAAGATTTAACTGCTATTGCGTGTAAAAACGTACGTCGTCCCGGGCAAAAGCTTAATATTGAAATACTGCTTTATTCTCTGCGACATACAAATTAAAAAGCAGGGCTCGAACCGACTCAAATCACACGGTGTTCCATCACAAATGAGTCTACTGCAGGGGGACTCGGCATACCCTAACAAGGAAGCCACCGAGAACCCTTACAGACTTAGTATTACAAACACACCATTTAGTATGGGGATCCTAATCCACGGCTTTGTCCATGGTCTCTTTATTATGTCCACACAGAGCACTCCACTAAAGTTTAGTGCAGTATTCTCGAGACTTACGTATTTGCCGCCAGTAGGCATTAAATTTTTGCCGTCCCTACTAACCTCCACAATTCAAAGCCATTTTTTTACGTGTGGAAACCCCCTCGGGCCGTCACTCCACTAATTATTTTAATTACTTTATTTTATAATTAAGATACGATTAACACTATACGGTGTGCCACTCTGCGCTTGAAGTAGGAGGGATCTGGGAACAGCTTTTATTAAGACATTCAGACCCTCAATTCAATCCCTTTTTTAAGTGTTATAATGTTCCACTCGTCACGGGTGCGGAGGCAGGGGCGGCTGTTCTACGAATCCGTTCCAAAGGGAGGTGTTCGAAGCTAGCTTGGCGTTCGGACGTTTCCGTGAGTACAGGAAGAGTGGGAAGCTGGTCTTGCTAAGGAAGTCGGGACAGCCTGCCAATTCGGTCGCGGCCTACAAGCTCATCGTGTTGCTAGCCGAGACGGGTACATTATTTAAAAGGGGTTCTTTCTGCCCGCATCGTCCGGCACCTCTGCGAGGTGGGCCCCAATCTGTCGGACGCCCAATTTGGTGGTTTTCGAAGATCGGCAGGCCGTCCCGGCTTCCTCAATAGGACCAGCTTCCCGCTTTTCCAGCACTCAGGGAAGCGTCCCGACGCCAAGCTAGCGTCGAACACCTCCCCGAGGCGGTCTGCCATGTGGTTGAGGGCCAGGGCCAGCACTCGGGCCGGTACCCCGTCTGGCTCAGGGGCGGTGTTCTTGGAACGGATCCGTAGAACAGCCGCCCCTACCTCCGAATCCCGGACGGGCGGAACATTATCCTCCCCGTGCTCCCCGTCGTCTCCGGCCAGGGAGGCCATCGACGGGGGAGTGTGTTCCGCCCGTTGTGGGAAAAGGCCCTCAACCACTTCTCGCAGGAAGCTGGGCTGGAGAGTCTCCGTAAGGGGGGGGGCCCGACGCGCGGAGCTTTTGTCGCACCGCGCGGTAAGGGCGACCCCAGGGGTCACGATTAAGACCCTCCAGCATCTCCTGTCTCTTTTCTTCTTTGGCGCGGCTAATGGCCAGCTTCAGAGTTTTCCGCGCCCGTCGGTACTCCTCATGAAGCCGGTCCTCCTCACCGTCTCCACCGTGACGCCGCCGACTGCGCGTGTAGGACCTCCGGGCACGTGTACAGGCCGCACGGAGGTCCGCCAGCTCCTGGGACCACCAGTAGACCTCCTTCCTTGGAGGCCGACGACCTCGAATGCGGGGCATGGCCGCATCGCAGATATGCGTAATCGCATCGCGAAAGCGACCAGCCCCCACGTCGACCTCCTCGGTCGGAGCCTGAGGAGACAGCCACGAGTGAATTATGGCTGCCTCCTCTAGTAGGTCCCGGTTCAGTCTGGCAACAGCCCACCGCGGAAAGCGGGATAAACGCCGCGCCACGTGACCCCTACTGGAGTCCTGGGTCCGGGAGAGCTCAAATCGGATATAGAGATGATCCGAGAGCGTCTCAACCTCTTCCAGGACACGCCAGTTCCTTACTCGTGCGGCGAGGGCAGGGGTAGCGAACGAAAGGTCCACTATCGACCCCCCTGCTGTCGCACGCACGTGTTGGTGGAGCCTCTGTTGAGGAGACAGAGGCCCACCGAGGCCGCCCACTCCTCTACGGCCTCGCCCCTTGCGTCCGTCCTGGGGGAACCCCACGCAATGGACTTTGCGTTGAAGTCCCCCAGCACAAGGACGTGCCCAGACGCTAGTCGCCGTATCGAGGTCTCCAAGCTGGTTAGGAAAACCTCGAAGTCGTTCAAACTCCGGTTGGGGGAGAAATAGACACCATATATGGTGATCCCCCCCCCACTCGACGGCAACATATCCAGTGCCCTTGTCTCTTAGCGACAAGGGCGGGGAATGAGCCGTCGTGGAACCGACGACTGCCACGGAGCCGTCCCAGTCACCCATCCAGTTTGGACGGGGAGGGACAGAATAGGGCTCCGCGACTACGGCAACACCTATCGACCACTGTGCCATGGTTTGCAGGAAGAGATCCTGCGCCGCGGCACAGTGGTTCAGGTTCGTCTCTACAACCTCCTCCATGGGCGACGACGTCGACGCAATATTGACGTCGGGGGTAGCCTGGGTCGACTGGCTAGCCGCTGACGTCTGCCGAGAACTGCGGGGAGGCTTGCAGCCTCTCTGCCCCATCTGGTGATTGGCGGGCTTATTGCCCGCCGCACACACTGGGCAGTGAGGGGCGGCAGAGCATTCTGCCGCCTTATGCCCCGGTTGACCGCAGCGGAAACACAGTCCGCCGCAGTCAAAACAGCTGTCGCACTTGACGCGCGTGTGTCCCGATGCTAGGCATTTGTAGCACCTCATCGGTCTCGCCGCCAGGACTGTGATCCTGGCGCTCACGAAACCGACGAGCAGCCTGCCGGCGTCGGCCAATACTTTGGCCGACGCTACGGGACAGCTGACCCACACGGCGCCAAGCCCTCCTGGACCGGGGCGGATGGTGCCGACCCTGACGTTGTCCGCGCTGCACCCCGTCTTCTCCCGGATTACAGCGCGGATATCTTCGGCCGTTACGGAGTCGTCCAGGCCCGAGATGCGCAGCTCTGCGCACTTAGTAAGCCTGGCGATCTTTACACCATCCGTAGCTGTAAAGAGTCCCCGCAGCTTCTCGGCAAACGTGTCTGCCGTCTTAGCGCCTTCAGCCCCAGGGAACTCGAGTACTCGAGCTCCCGTCTGGGCGAGGCGCATCCTGACCCCCACCGTTCCAAAATCGTTGGCGAGGCTGTCCCGGGCCTTTTTGAAGACGGCCGCGTAGGACAGCCCGCCGTCAGCCGCCTCCGGGGATCTCACCAAGCGCCTATATTAACCCAAGTAAAAAGTTGAAATCGAACTCGAACTCCAACTACCAATGGTTAAGAGCCTACATTATCGACTTGTTGTACTAATCGACTTGTCCGACACGAAATTAAATATATTCACATAAATACAGTGAGTGCAAAAGTTGCACAACAAGCCAAATTGTATTACTTTTGATAGACTATACATATATGAAACTTTTTCACCGACTTCTGATTGTATTTCATTTCAGAATGCTACATGAAAAATGCGAACGCTCTAATTTGGATTTAGAAGATGAGGCTCTACGTTGGTTCTTAAATAATATATGAAGCAGCTGAGAAGGTTTACATTAAATACTTAAAAGTAAAATACTTTTAACTCATTTTACCGAAGTTTTATATTAATATTGAATTAGTTTATAAAAACTTGACTTGAAAAAGTCAGTGCGCCGTATTAAGTTATTATCTCAACTACGAGGACAGCTATTTATGTATCCAGAATAACAAAGTGAAACAAACATAGATATATTATATAGCATTTATTATAGTTTTATTGCTTTTCAAAATATTCGCGGTGATATCGATGCACTTTTGCATACGTTGAAACCAATTTTCGTAGCACTTTTTAAATTCTGTTTGTGGGAAAAACGTGCATCTTGAACGCATCAAAGGCCTCTTCACGGCTCGAAAAATGTTGACTTATTGATCTTCCAAATACTGAGTTTATTTTATTTCATTTTATTTGGGGAGCTTACAGCTACAGTACAAGTACATCAGTAATTTAGTTGTTGAAAAACCAATAGCAAGCTTCCACAGATACACAAGAAACATTCTACTTATGTTACATTCTAATTAAATAATTAAAGATGTAAATAGATGAAAACAAATTAAAACACATGCAAAACAAAGAGTCACAGCTCACACTGCAGTAGTGCAGGCAACACTATCAGCAAATCTGACGGTTAAATAAGATCTAGCACTACCAGTACTTGTACTAAAAACATCAAAACCACTGTCACTATTTAGTTTGTTCAACTCGGTGAAAACTCTAGGCGGGTAGCTATTTTATCTGAAGTTGGTGCGACTCGACGGAAGATAAAGTAACCGGGTGTTCTTAACCTAATCATACTGAGTAGATTAGGGCAATCGATCTTGCCCTGAGCAAGACTGAGCAGGAATACTAGGTCTGAAATATTACGCCTAATATACAAAGGTAGAAGATGTAATGTTACACAGCGTTGCTCATATGTAAGATCTACCAAGTGGCAAAGTTTAAATTTGAAACCCAGGTAACGAATAAATTTCTTCTGTATTTTCTCAATCTCATTGGAGTAACAATCGTAGTAATGATTCCACATCTGAACAGCGTATTCCAAGTGACTGCGCTCGTAAGCACAGTACAAAACTTTGATAGTTTTCATATATCTCAAATCACTGGAACAACGAATTATAAGACCCAGTGCTCCAAAAGCCTTGTCAACTATGTGATTCACATGCCTATCAAATAGAAGTCTGCTGGAATGCACCACGCCCAGATCCCTATGTACAGTTTTCCTCTCCAATATATGGCCCTTAATAACATAATTAGAATGGAGTATTTGACGCTTACGTGTGAAGCTCATGGAGAAACATTTAGAAGCGTTGAGGTCCAAGTTATTATAGTAGCAGTATGTGTCCAGTCGCTGAAGATCTTCTTGCAATAATTTTGCATCCGTCAAGTTGTTAATTGTCTTAAAAAAATCATATCATCAGCGAATAAAAGAAAATTGGAATGCATAAAACAGGAACCAATGTCGTTAACAAAGATAACAAATAAGAGCGGGCCTAACAGAGAACCTTGAGGAACTCCAGACGGTTTATTCAACACTACTGCCTGAGACCTGTTCAGAAGATAAGCAGATAACCAGTTATATAGTTTACCATGGATACCAAGATCTAGAAGTTTGGTCCGTAAGAGTGTATGGTCTATACGATCAAAAGCCTTACTATAGTCATATCAACTTGATTGACACTGTCCATGTTGCTGGTTAAGTAGGGAAGGTGGCCCAAAACGGGTGGGCCGCCCAAGACGGGTAAGCACTCGTATATTTTTGTATCAAGCATAAGTGTCAATGTGTGCTTGTGTCGAGAGTTGCCGAACATTGACGAGTTTCGATCAGTTTTGCTGAGGCGCCGGAGTCGCGTAATGGTGTAGGTGTGTGCAACGAAAGTTTTAAAGTGATTTTGTTAAAAAATTCAAGGTAAGTGTCTCGTAATTAGTCGAAAACCTTTATAATTCTCATATTATTAGTAGTACCGTTTCATTCAATCACTATCTAACTTTAATTTAAGATAAAAAGTTTGCCCCATTTACCTTTCATTTTGAGGTTATTATTAATTTACAAAAAACATGTGCTCTCGGGCAAAACGGGTAGGGCAAAACGGGTACATACCCGTTTTGCCAAGAATCAGTTTTGTATTAAAATATTTCGGATCTTTTTCAGATGGTGATGATAAATATAAGCGTAAAACTGTACGTGCATCGTGGAGTGAAACTACTATGCGACTAGCAATGGAAGAAGCGAAGACTACTTCGGTCTCTGCCGCCGCAAAGAAGTATGGCCTTACCCTATCTACTTTGCAACGGCATATAAAAAAAGGAAATTCTGAGAAGAAGCTAGGAAGATATCAGCCGGTGTTTGAGCAATAAGGCTCAAGAAAGAGAATTACTAGAATATGTATTTCAGGTCTATGATTTTTTCTATGGTTGTACTAAAAACGACTTTTTAGAGCTTGTTTACCAGTATGCAGAACGAAATAACATATCGCACCCTTTTAAAGATGACTGAAATTAGATGAAAAAAAAGGACTGGTATTTAGGTTTTAAAAAGCGGCACCCTGACCTTACGCTTAGACAACCAGAACCAACATCAATTGCACGAGCCCGAGGGTTTAATAAACCGCAAGTTAATAGATTCTACAACATACTGGAAATAGAAATAGAGAAACATGCCATAGACGCAACGCGGATATATAATGTTGATGAAACGGGGATGCAAACCACAAGTAATAAGCCTCCAAAAATTGGCGTAATATCTAGTGTTGAGAGAGGGAAACTAACGACTGTTGTCTGCTGTTGCAACGTAGCTGGATCTTTTGTTCAACCATTTCTCATTTTTGGAAGAAAGAGAATGATTAGCAAATTATTGGATGGGTCTCCACCTGGCACCAATGCTACTTGCACAGACAACGGCTGGATAACGGGATCTACCTTTTTGGAATGGCTTCGACACTTTGTTGAACTTATGCGTCCAACACTGGAGCAGAAAGTTATCTTGGTTCTGGACAACCACGAATCCCACAAATATGTTAAGGCACTAGAATATGCATAAAAAATGTGATTTTTGTCTCTCTTCCTCCACATACCACATACCGCATGCAGCCCCTAGATCGGTGTGTTTACGGTCCTTTTAAGACCTATTTTGAGCAAACATGTGTTATATGCTAAGAGCCAAAATGTTAAATAAGGTTCAATTATTAGCTTCCTGCCTTTTATAATTATGATTATAGTTTATCTGATCAATGATGACAATTACCCGTTTTACCCTAGACTTACCCGTTTTGCCCAAAGGAGGTTACCCTTTTTAGGCTCATATGCGGGTAAAACGGGTTTTTGGAAAGGATTTGTATTTTTTTTATTAAATTAATATTTGATACAAAATATTTTCAAATAGTGTTTTATTTTCAAGTTCGATAAATACCCTATCTTATAAAGTAAATCCAGCTAATTCCTAACATGATTTAACACTTTTTTTTTATCTTCGTTCTTAGATTACCCGTTTTAGGCCACCTTCCCCTATTCATTAAATACCACCAGATTGGTAGCAGTTGACTTACCCCTTAAGAAACCATGCTGTTCTGGAATAATCACAGATTTAATTGCCTCATATAGTTGACTGTAAACAATACGCTCAAGTAGTTCTGCTATTAGACATAATTTAGAGATGGGCCTGTAGTTAACAATTGCACTTTTCAATCCTTTTTGTGTGTATAGGTGTGAAAGTGCAGATTTCCATGTGGAAGGCATGACACCCTCATTCAGCGAACGCCGAAAGAGCAGAGTAATGGGAGTAGACAGTTCATTGGCATAGGATATCAAAAAGTAGCCGGTACTGTATCCGGGCCAGCCGCCTTAGAAACATCAAGGCCTTTTAGGAGCTTAAGGACTTGTTCAGTTTTAACCTCAACTATGGAGATATCACAGGCTTGGCCAATATTTAGTGGAACACTAATCAGTGAGCAAGTAGTAGCGTTGTCATTAGAGAGGAAATTCGAAGAGAAGTATTCCGAGAATAGCTCGCTAATACCTGCTCCATTGTCACAAGAGTGGTCAGCATAGGTCATTGACGCAGGATAATTACTATTAGCTCGTTTGCTCTTTACATGTGACCAAAAAAGCTTAGGGTTTTTAGTGATAGAATTCCTCAATTTTCTTAATGTAATTCTTGTAACAAATCTCTTCCAGTTTTTTCACTCTAGTTCGAAGCAAGTTGAAGGTGTGTAAATCAGATCGGTTGTTATAATTTTTTTTTTTAATGTTCAGTAAGAGCAGAATTGTACCACGGTGGATAATTTGTATTTTTAGTTGTACCTGTTGGTACATATTTATTTCTAAGGTGGTACAAAATTTCATAAAAACTGTTCACTGCGTTGTCAATACAGTCAGCACCAAGTACAGTCAGCCAGTCGACATCGGAGAGCTCCTTGCGAATGTTGTCATAGTCAGCACGGTGATATGAGAATATATTACGGGGACAGCTTTTAAGTAATTCTGGTTTGAAAAATACTGGTCTGATGATCAAGCTCCTGTGGTACGGGTCCTCTTAACTAGTGGGTCCGGACAAATTGAAACGGAGACAACATCATTACACAAAACTAAATCCAATATTCCACCAACATGATATTTGTGTGAGTTATATTGGACAAAACCACATTCTCTTAGGGTACTAATGAACTTATTGTGGTGTATGTTATTTGTAAGAGACGCTTGAAACCCATCTTAATGTAAAACCCAGGAAATATTACTCGTGTTAAAGTCTCCCAATACCAAGAAGTAATCAGAAGTATTCAGTTCGACTAGACTTTTGAGCGAACTTGTAAAGTTGTTAAGCTGTACGATACACGAGTTACCCCTTTTTTTCCGTGCGGAAATCCCCTCGGATACCACCTATGGTATGTGGTGGCATGTCGGACTCGAACCGACTAAACCGCTATTAGTAACCGTCTCGGGTACTAATAGCCGGGGAACCAGGTATACCCTAGAAAAGAAGTCCCTGGTGCCCCGACATACC